CCATGCCTAAAGAAATCGGAAAGACCCCCTCACCCTTCAACAGTGACACCTGCCTTGCTCAGGGATGGACGCTTCAAGTCGAGGTGTACCTAGACATGAACGATGAAGTTTACGATAATGACAAGAAGAAGGTCATTTTCACCCTCAGCCTAATGACTAAAGGCGAGGCTGCTAAATGGGCCGAAGGCCAACTCAAGGCTGCCATCACAGCAAAGACTTACAGAACCTGGGAAGATTTCGCTAAGCAATTTAAATCCACTTTCTTTCCCAAGAATGTTGAACAGACTGCGATCTGTCGCATTTCATCCCTCAGACAGACTGGTAGCATAGCCACTTACACATCCCTATTCAGAACCATCCTAGCCGATACTGGCATCTCCGAAGAGAACACCAAAATCATGTTCTTCAGAAACGGGCTAAAGTGAGAAATAGTCTCCACTATATATGCCTTCGAAACAACCCCTACCACCATCAAAATGTGGCTAGAGAAAGCCTTAGACGTCAAGGTCCAAAGGACCTTAATAGCACCTCCCTCCTATACCAAGGTGAAAGATCCATACACCATGGATATAGATAAAATAGAAGTAGATGATGAAGAAGGTGAGAAGAAGACGAGGAAGACTTACTTAACTCCTCAAGAACAAGAACGCAGGTGCAAGGGTGGCCTATGCTTCAAATGTGGCAAGAAGGGCTTAGCCGCAGATTGCCCTAACCACCCAACGGTTACAACCAGTACCAGGAAAGTAGTCAAGGAATCATCTGACGACGACTACAAGGAATTCCAAGAATGGAAGGCGTTTAAAGCATGCCAGATGAAGAAAGCCGGAAAGAAGCTGGTTAAGAAGGAAGAAAGTAGCAACGAAGAGGATTTTGCTTAGGGGAGTCTGCCACAGTGTCAGAAACTCCCAGAATCAGACTAGTAGTACAATCTGTTGGCAATACTAATTCTATTCGTTTGCCGTTAACCATCAGATTGAAAAAGACCGAAAAAACCACCATAGCCACTGCTCTAATTGATTGCGGTGCAGAAGGCAAATTTATCAATGAGAAGTTCATACTCAAAGAAAATATTCGCACGCACAAACTAGAAACTCCGATACCTGTGCAAAACGTAGATGGCATGTTGAACAAAGCCGGAAGAATCACACGGTACTGTGAACTCTCCTTTTTGATCAAAGATATCCCTATGAGGAAGTGATTCTTTGTAACCTCCTTAGGAGGAGAAGACACTATCCTGGGAATGACTTGGCTAAAGAAGGAAAACCCAGATATCAATTGGACAAATCAAGAAGTCTGCCTAAGGGAGCGTACCCTGAAAAAAGCATTTATCGAAGAAATCGAAGAAGACAAAGACATCTTTTATGACGCTCTAGAAGAACTAGAACCGGAATGGGACCCTGCTAACAAAACTCTCCCACACCTTCTAGATCCCATCAACAACAACGATGACTTCTATACCTATATCCGGAAAACTGACAATATCTCACAGACACTAGCCCAGGACACCGCCAAACCAAAGAAAACTTTCAAAGAACTTGTACCCGAAGAGTTCAGACAATACAAAGATGTATTTGGTGATGTAGCTAATGGAACCCTCCCTCCAGAACGAAAATACGACCACAAGATCGACCTCAAGGAATCCTTTGAACCGCGGAAATGCAAAATCTATCTGCTAAACGCCAAAGAAGAGAAGGCTATGAATGATTTCATTGATGAACATCTCACCAAAGGAATGATCGTTCCTTCCGAATCCCCCCAATCTTCTCCATTCTTCTTTGTCGGGAAGAAAGATGGTTCCCTCCGACCCTGCCAGGACTATCGCTACTTGAACGAACACATGGTTAAGAATAACTACCCTTTACTGCTAATCTCTGATCTTATAGATAAGCTAAAGGACGCCAAGATCTTTACCAAGATGGACATTTGATGGGGATATAACAATGTACATATGAGGAAATCTGATCAATGGAAGGCGGCTTTTGCCACTTCCAGAGGACTTTTTGAACCCATGGTCATGTTCTTCGGAATGTGTAATTCGCCCGCCACCTTTCAGTCCATGATGAATGACTTGTTCGGAGACATGATCCAAGAAGGGTGGATCATTATTTACATGGACAATATACTAATCTTTTCAAAGGATGATGAAACCCACCGTATTCGAACTCACAAAGTACTCCAACGACTTCACGACAACCTCCTCCACCTTAAACCTGAAAAATGTACCTTCAACGTAACCGATATCGAATATCTCAGCATGATCATCAAACCCGGTTCTATTGCCATGGACCCCGCGAAGCTAAAAGGAATATCTGAATGGAAGACTCCCACGAAAGTGAAGGAAGTCCGATCATTCCTCAGATTCACTAACTTTTACCGATGGTTTATTGCTGACTATTCTTCGATTGCTAGACCCTTAATCAATCTAACCAAGAAAGACGAAGAATTCTCTTGGACCCTTGAACGTGAGGAAGCTTTTAATAAGCTGAAGCGTATTTTCACATCATCCCCGATTCTCCAAATACCTGACAAAAACTCACCATTTGCTATCGCCACAGACGCATCTCTATATGCCACAGGAGCAGTACTCCTCCAGAAAAACGATAATGGAGACTGGCTCCCATGTTCATTTTTATCCCAATTGTTTAACCCTGCTGAACGTAATTATCAGATCTATGATTGAGAATTACTCGCCATCGTCTGAGCTTTGAAAGCTTGGAGACATTATCTCCTAGGATCTCCTTTTCCTGTTACCGTTCAGACTGACCACAAGAACCTTACTTATCTCAGAGACGTACAAGACTTGAATAGATGCCAAGCAAGATGGCAGACTTTCCTTTCTCAATTCGCACTTCAGATCCAACATGTACCTGGAAAAGAACTTATTATTCCCGATTTACTCTCCCATAGAATGGATCACCTTCCAGTCGATAGTGACGAAAAGGACAACATTAGTATACAACTTCTTCCAGATTCGATGTTTATTAACATCATTGACACTTCTTTTATGGACAGATTATGTATTTCATCCTCTGTCAACCCCATAGTTCATACAGTGCTTCAAGCGCTTACAGACCCCTCTATTCCCCCTCCTCTTCGCTCCACTCTTTCTGATTGGAAATTGAGTGATGGAATTCTTTCTTTTAAAGGACTTACTTATGTACCCCCTGGAGATCTCTGATGAGAACTCACTTCCCTACATCACGACTCTCCCACCGCCAGACACCCTGGATGTTTTAAAACCCAGGAACTCCTATCTCACGACTACTGGTGGCCTGGTCTAGCCACATTCGTCAAGAACTTCATAGAAGGCTGTTGCATCTGCCAACAGAATAAAGTAAACACGCACCCTTCTACTCCACCACTCTCCCCTATTCCGGCTCCTATCTCCAACCAACCCTTCACCCACTGTTCAGTAGATCTGATCATGGACCTTCCCCTCTCCGACAGCTTTGATAGCATCATGGTCATGGTCGACCACGGACTTTCAAAGGGGGTAATTTTCACCCCTTGTCTCAAAACTATAGACGCTGAAGGCGTTGCGAACATTTTCTTCTCTAAAGTATTCTCTAGATATGGACTTTACGATAAGATTATTTCTGACCGCGGACCTCAGTTTGCTTCCCGATTCCAGGTCGAACTCAGAAAACTCCTCAGATACAAGAATTCCCTTTCCACCGCATTCCACCCTCAGAGTGATGGAGAGACTGAACAAGTAAATCAAGAACTCGAAGTCTACCTCCAGATCTTCTGTGCTAATGACCAAACTGGTTGGGCGCCCATGTTACCACTAGCCGAATTCGTCCATAATTCACACCATCACTCTGCACGTGGTACCTCCCCCTTTTACCTCATGATGGGTTATCACCCATGTCACCTCCCTGATTCCCATCTGAAATCTGACATACCTAATATTGAACAACAACTCTCCCTACTAAATAAAGCACGAGACAAAGCGCTAGCCACTCATGAACTCGCATGTAGCACCATGCATCAACAAATTACGTCTAAATTCGTACCATTCTCTAAAGGTGATAAAGTCTGGCTCAAAGCCAAGAACCTCCACCTTGGATATCCTAATTGGAAACTCGCTCCTAAACACGAGGGACCATTCACGATCATTGATGTATTATCCCCTATAACCTATTGACTCGCCCTACCTGCGCAATGGCGCATCCACCCTGTTTTCCACGCTGCACTCCTTTCTCCTTATAAAGAGAACGATACCCATGGCCCTAACTATATTCCGCCCCCCCCTGATCTGGTTGATGGCAAAGAAGAACACAAAGTTGAAGCAGTTGTCAGACACTGCGGATCTTCATCACGAAGACAATATTATGTAAAATGGAAGGGATTCCCGAGTTCTGAGAACGAATGGATGAAGGAAGCTGAACTAGGTAACGCTTCCGAACTTCTTACTAATTATAAACGATCGCATTGTCTTCTTTGATAGTAGTCGGTGCCTACTACCCTTACAATGGGGGTAATGTTACAGTTCCATCTTTTCCTTTTCACCTCTTCACTTATTCACAATTAACTAATCATTCTTAGACATTCTATAACATTCCATTGTACGATTCCCTTTTCTCATTTCTGATTCGCTATTTACTTTCAATCTCCGATTCATTTATTAAAGCTCCGCTTTAATCTCCTTATATATACTCTATCTCTTACACTTGTAGTCTTTAACTTGACCTATGCAGACCAGGGCCTGCAATATACTGCTTAACTCGCACGACTCGTACATAGGTGTACACTTTAGATCATTTGTTTCTGTCTAGTCGTTCTTATGAATGCCGAGCATAACAGCTGGTACCTGTACAAGCCTTACAAATGTTACAGTCTGTGCCTTTGTACAGACAATACACATGATACATGTTGTATAGGTGGCACATGTTATATAAGTTTATGCAGTTGCTAGACATTGTACAGGCTTGTAAAGGATGCAAAAACTGTGCTGATTGTCACAAATTACAACATGCTGAATGAGAGAATATGCTAGATTATAAGATGATGTTGACATCCTCCATATCACTGCCTCCCATATTGCCCTTGTTGAAATCAAGGTCACCTGCCCCAATCATAGCCCACTGCTCCAACATCTCCTTGAGCTCTGCATGATGGTCAGGATTTTCTAGAAGTGTGTCTACAGACCTCTGCAATGAGTTGAAGTCAGCCCTACATTTATCTGCAGAGAGGTCTGGAACTTTGTCAGTGCCAGTCTCGCAAAACCCAGTGAGGATGCCCTTTGTCTGTTGATTCATCAATGACTAAATAACACAAATAAAATAAATAACAGGGCACACCATGGCACCCACAAGAAGCAGCCCATTGACAGGTATTGCATGTTGAAATTCATCTGTGTTCTTGAGGGCTTTCTTGCTATTACCATAGTAGAATTTGCAGCCATCCCTGAGAGCTTGTAAGACAAAATTCTTCCATTTGCCCTATAAAACTAATAGTGAGTGGCTCCCTTGGGAGGTGTAAACAAGTAACCATACATTAGATGAATCAGGAATACAAAGATAATCACTGGTCTTGAGTAACTTGGTGGCCTTTGCAATGACACATTTCTGTATCTCGTCCTTGCGCACCATGGTGCCCTTTGGGAAGATATCATATGATGCTTTTGTGATGGATACAACAACTTTCTTCAGCTCTGTATGAAACGTAAATAGATCATCACAGAACTGACAGTAAAGATATAAGTTTATTGTACATCCATTAATGAGACACTTACCAGCTGCAACATTTGTGTCATGTACTGCAGGAAATAGCCTAAGAAGCAAGATAAGATTCACAAAGGGGGTCAGGCAATGTGAGGAACCTATTTACCATTGTTTAATTTGATCTTTTTTTTGTGGTACATCCACAATTCAGTGTCAAGAACTTCTTGTGCAAGTTGTAGCACATCTCAATGATCTGGAATGGGATGCATTAGAACAGCCTGTAGATGCATTTCTAACTTTGCTGCCTGCAAAAATGCTTGCCAGGCAGGTGGGTAAAAGCTGAGCTTTGTAGGGTCCTCTTGGACTGTCTTGGCCTTGCACTTATTTCTGTATGAATCTGGCTCATCACATGTAGCATGACTGGAGGAAGTACTTCACCTAGATGGAGAATGCCGATGAGGAGACTGCATGTGGGGGGGATGCTGAGATACATGTGTATGAGGTGATGCCAAACACTGATATGGAGACCTTGAGCATGTAGAATGGTGAGAGTGCATGCAGGAGGAAGAAGGGCATATAGATGGGACATGCTGAGATGTGTGTATATGAGGTGACACTGAACACCACTATGGAGACCTTGAGTGTGAAGAAGGGTGCATAGATGGGACATGCTGAGATGTGTGTCTATGAGGCAACACTGAATGCTGGTCTGGATACTTTGAGTGGGTAGAAGTAATGTAAGGTAAGCACTCACATTTAGGAGGTCATGCTAGAGACCCAGTAGACACCACACATTGAGGTGATGGTCAATGAGGAAACTTCAACTGGCTAGAAGCACATCTGCATTCAGTACATTTCACCCTTGATAGATAAGTTAAGGAAGGAGCCTTGCACTGTCCATTCTTCATTTGATGACGCTCAAGAACATCAAAAGCTTCCTGAAGAGCATGTGATAAGATTAACCTCAAGACAAAAATTAAAACACTTTCCTCTGTTTCATCTCTGGCTGCATTGTCAAGCTCATTGTTGAAATAATCATGAATACCACTGTCCTGAGCATCAGGCTCATCTCTTTGAGTGCCAGGCTCATTGTCAAAATCCCCATCAATACCTTGATTGGAATCCCTAAGCATCAGGCTAATTGTTGACATCCCATCATACCTTGACAAACAATCTTCCTGAGCTTCACCTCCATACTCACCATCCAAATTGTTTTCATGTTATCCAAAGTCTGTGGTATTGCCTATTTCAAGTGTTTGCTCCTGGTCCTGAACTCCATCCCTGCATTGGGCACATGTGATAACAGACAGATGAGATAGTAGCAGAAGACATACCTTTCCTCAGTTCCCCTGTCAGTTTGGTCCTGGTCTGTCATATCCTATATGCCAGACATAGATCCCATCATATTCCCATGCTTTCCAGTGTCCTGCATGATTTGGGAATCATGCATGGACATGACTACTAGGTAGCCCCCCTAAAAGACAAAGTCTGTTAGCTTAGGCATCAGGCTAGTCAACCCATACCTTGGTTTCAAACCTTGGTCATATAGTTCAGTTTCCCCTCTGTGATTCATGAATTTATTATATCTTGAAGAAAAGTCATTTGTGAGATGGGAATCACATAATGACCTAGTTGATATTGTGAAGCAAGAAGGTTAAGGTATTGCCTTGCCTTTGGCTTATTCACTTTGGCTAGAGAAAACCATAGAGAAAAGTTCAAAGCCTAACAAAAACCTATCTAAAAAGCCTGTGTTTTGTGTCTTGTTATTGTATTATTATTTCTGAGTTGTTTTCTCTAGTATTTCCTTGATTTATTTTTCTATTGGGATGCTCTGACCCATCAGATACTTCACAAAATTGTACCTACAGGGTATGATGTCATAATGATGTCATATGGCTCCACAGATACTCCTGCAAGTATTCTGTTGAAAGTTATGATGTCATGATGATGTCATTTGTTCTGGAATGTTCTGCTCCACAATAACTCACCTCTGATGTCATTACTCCACCTATGGAATATTCTGGAATGTTCTGCTCCACTTCTGATGTCATTGCTCCGCTTTTTTACTTACATAATATTCCCACACAAAATGTATATAAGGAGGGCCCATTCTCCCCCAAAAAATAGGATCTCCCACTTGCAATCATTTGAATCTCAGTTTGAGCTACTCACTGTGAAGATTGTTGCTTACAAAGAAAGCCCCTTTGAAGTACCAAGTGCAGGGAAAAGACATTCCCTTGAGATTACATAAGTTTCTTACAATAGAAACTTAGTTTATTTGAGACCAGCTTCTCACCTAGTTTCTGATATTGACCAACACAAGCTTTGGTCAATCTGTTCATTTGTGAGACCTGCTTCTCACCTGGTTTCTGATATTGACCAACACGAGCTTTGGTCAATCTGTTCATTTGTGAGACCAGTTTCTCACCACTTTGTGCCTATTTGACCAACTAGTCTTTGGTCAACATTTTTGTATTTGAGACCATAGTCTCTACAGAGGATTATCTTAACAAGGAACCACATTCCAGTGTCTAGACGGTTTATCCTAGACAAGTTTATAAGTTGGGATATAACACAAAAGCTCTGGCTAAGTTAATCACATTGATTGGTTTAGCGAGCCTCCCAAGAACTCACACATTATCTACCACGAAAGAAGAAAAGTCATAGACTGTGTTAATCGAGGACTGGCAAGAAGTCTTATCCTAGTGTAATTGTGGTGTCATTACATTTTACACGCATTTATATAAGACCCTCAGTTATGAAGACACCGGACCTATTTCCAGACCCCATATCCAACTCATTCCTGGATCCCCTATCCTGTCCACCCTATGCACATTCTGTCTAGCAAGACATCTGGACTTTACCTCCTCTCAGATTCCAGACTACATCCACCACCTCACATATCTCAGTCCTATTTCTGCCCTGCCTTCCAGATCCCTAGATCTCTGGACCTCCAGATATTAACTGTACTATCTCTGGACCATTCCCACCCTCTATCTGAGATCCTGCGCCTATCCCCATTTAGGCATCTCCACCTTTCCAGTCCTTGATTATCTCTGTTTCTGTCTTGCTGATCGATCCTTGTACAAGTCTTCATCTCTGAGTTCATTTAGTTATGTTCCGTCTTACTTACTAATGTGTTTCCACATGCTCATACATAGCCTTACTCTGTTGCTTACTGATCCCCTCAGATACTCTCCAGTATATAACCCCTGTAGATACTCCTGTAGTTTCCTTAGTCTGAATATCACCTTAGATCTGCCCAATCTTCTTCCAGACTTCAGTCCATCTGAGTTTGTCCTTTTCCATAAGGCCTAGGGATGGATTCCCTAGGCTGGAATTCTGGACCTTCAGATTTGTCCCCTATGCCTCTGTCCCATGTCTAGGGATTGCTTCCCTAGACTGGAGTCTTGCTTTCCTGGCACTTACCCTCTCTCTGGACTTTGGTCCACTTCCTGTCTCTCTGACTCTACCTAAGGGTAGTCTACCTCTGTTTGCTTCCACATTGGACTTCGTCCAATGTAGCCCCTATTCCTTCCAGACCTCTGGACATCCTGTCCTGTGCACCTCCAGGTGTCCTGTCCTTTGGACATTCTGCCCTCCATACCTTTGGATGTCCTGTCCTCCTAACCCTCAGACATCCTGTCCTCCGGACCTTCAGTCCTCCTGTCCTCCATACCTCCAGACATCCTGTCCTCCTGTCCTCCAGACCTTCAGTCCTCCTGTCCTCCATACCTCTGGATATCCTGTCCTCCTATCCTCCATACTTCCAGACCTCCGGACATCCTACCCTTCCATCCTGTTTCCTGTAGAAGTACTACCTTGCAGTGAGAACTCTCCTGAGCACTTCCTGCATTCCTCCAGAACTCTCCTGTGCTCCTCTGGAAGTCCTCTAGCACTCTCCACCAGAGTAGCCAGCCTCCAGAAGTCCTCTGGACTTCATCAGACCATCATCAGACTTCCTCTGAAATGAAGGGCACATACTCAGGTAAGGGGCACAGCATACGAGCTGAGGCCAAGCCCCTCTGAGTCAGTCTCTCTCTCCCTTGAGCATGGTTCTTAACATGGTCCTGGTCATCATCATCACTGATACCATGCTCTGGAGCTTGATTTCCAGCCTCCTCCTCCGAGTCATGGGTATGCTCATTGGACTGTGGTGCCTTCTGGATGTTCTGACTGCCAGTCGAAGTGGGCTGCCAAAACCCAAACCTACCTGAAGACTGAGCTGCACTTGGGGCTGTTCAGAGAGATGTGCCAGAATGTTGGTGTCCTGAATTAGGTTGCTGGCATCCAGAATGGACATTCTTGTTGATACCAACAGAACACTGAGTAGGATTGGTGCTCCTGGTCAGAGACCTTTTAGTAGTAGCCTGGAAGAATGTTAGCTTTTGGGAGTTTATATTAGAACATCAACTATACACATTTTTCTTTGGTTTCTGGAGCTGGGAAGGAGCCATGGGGTTTTCCTCTGCATCACTAATGTCAAGATTGGTCTCCTTCTGACCTTTCCTTGCTGGGGCCACTAAGGTTTTGCCAGCTTTTTTCAACTGGTCTGCATGTCCACCTTGGCCTCATGTAGATCTCTCACTTCATCAAGTACCCTCAGAGACTTCATATGAGCACCTGGCCCTCTTCTTTGGAGGTGGGAAGTGTTGAGATTCTAAAACCTGTCACCACCAATTAGTACCCAGAGTCATCACATAAGCTGATGCTTGATGTACTAAACTAGTACAACAGAGTACATGTACAGGTACAGTATGACTCCAAACATAATAATAATTAGAGGGTATAACAAGTTGAGTTTTGACAGTGGGAGTTGAAGGATGTTAAGAAATATGAGAAGGATAAGAGACTTGAGAATTGTGAGAAGATAAGAGGCCAGCACTCAGAAAGAGGATTGTGGGATGACATGTACAGAAAAAAAGTTCAGACACCTTCTCATTGCCTCCTCTAAGTTGTCTGTTTGTTCTTTTTTTTATGAGGAACAAGATGACAAACGTACCCAACATGTAGATCCTGATAGTGAGAGACAAGTAATGAGTGCAGCATCAATGGCTTAAATATCCAAACATACACAGAAAATCCTATTCCAACATAGTGCACCTAGAATATATTGAAGTCAGCAAAACTTGGACTTGCTAAGCGTAAATATTGAAACCCAAGGTACATACACTGAGATAAAGGAAGGTCATTGGGGACCGGTGTTGCCTCTGCCATGAACAAGTTGTACTTTCACATTGTTCTTTTGATGTGGGAGTCCACTCACCCAGATCAGTTTGACCTATAACAAAATTCTAAGCAAGTTGGCTACCCCAGCAATGGGTCAATGTACCTCTCATCTGAACATGAGTGCTGAGAATACTGTAAGGATATTAGTGGTCTTTTCATACTTAAGCTTGCTCACCCCAATTGTACACCAGCCCAACAGAGGTGGCAACTGCAACATTGGAGTCAAGATGAATCGAATAATCACCATCAACATGTGGGCAACTCTCTACAAACCTACAAAATAGCTAGAAATGAAATTTGCATTGATGATTGGCCACCAACTGGGATCATTTGAGACTAGAGTCATGCTATTGGAGGATGGGAGTAAGCAAGCAGGGAATTTGGTGGACACATAACGATCACATTCATACTTAATGCCGTATACCACAATAAAGTGCTTACATCGCTGAAGTGATATTTGAGGCAGGCCTGAGGTATCAATGAAACCTGATCATTGGTGTTGTTTGCTCTTTGAATGTCATGGGGACCCCTCAACTGCTCGTGTGATGGGGTCCTCGATTTGCTGGCTAATAGGCTATAGCGCTAAATCTTCGTTGTCTGCATTCCACGAGGCTTAAGCGAGGACAATTGGCAGGTGTGATGCTTACATAAGTTCAAATACAGCTCCACACCGCAGGACTTCGGGCTTGGCGGCTGGCCTTGACGTCATGAAGCTTGTTGACTCAAGGACTGCATTATCGTCATGCTCAGCATTTTCCACAACATGCTGCCACACGTTTCTAAGTACTCGGATTTCTACCCTCAGTTCGTAAAGCGTAAGTATTCGTGATGCTGTAAATATTCGTGAAGTGCTAGGTATTCATGAAGTGTTACAGGTCCGAACCAGATCTACGATTCTGATCCTCGGAAAGTGATGGAAATTGCAATGGAGAAATGATCGTGTAGTACTTACTATACGGTAAAGATCGCTTTGCTCATTTTAATTTTAGAATAAAATACCCAGATACGGACCCTCCATAATTAGTTGTCCAAAATTCGACTCAACTGCTCCTCCCAACTACCACCAGGGCAGCAATGAAGAGCAGCATGATAACAATCCCACTCACAGCAGCAGCCACCCTACACCTCCTAATCCACGGACTCCTCGCTATCAAAAAAGGGCCACGAGGATGTGTTGAATGAATCCCTCGCGAATACGATGGCGGCATTAAGCTCTGCACCGAAGGTGCCACGAAGGGATAGCCATGGTGCAACGGCTGCATCCTAAATGAATCAACGGTCTGTGCGTTCTTACCCGTCCACAAGGGCATCATGCTCCCGCTCCGGCCATAGTTATTATTACTCTTGGCCTTCACCAGCCATCCACCGATCAGCCAACACCATGGCGCGATAAACCCAAGCCAGAACAGCGTCCGAGCGGTGTCGGATTTCTCAGTGTGCTTGCCCCATTTCTCGTTGGCCTGGCGCGCGCTAGAGCATTCCGTGTGCGAGCCAAAATATAGCTCTGACTCTGCAAAGCGACGGTCGATGAACGAAGATGACATCGATCGGACAGAATCACGCTGGCTTGGAGTATCGATCCTACCGTGATTAGTCCGGTGATCTACATTGGGCTGTGGTAGTGAGTATGAGGGTGGATATGTTGAGGTTCGCGATGAAGGACGGGGAAGTAAGGGTGTGTGTGTTGCTGGAGAGGGTGTGTGCGTTGCTGGAGGCAGCTGAGGGATTCCCTGTTGATACTCGGGGGAACTCTTAGAGGACTCCGCAGTTCGGCTTGATGGGAGCTCTTGATCACCTAGAGGTTCATGATCCGGTTCTAAAACCATAGCAGAGTATCTGCTCTCCCGCACTGCAGCAGCTGACCGAGCTGTGACGAAGCTCTCGCGTTTTGTCGAAGCATCATCGGGGGTACCCAGCCCTTCATCAACGATATCCCGGGACAAAAGTGTGTCTGAGGGGAGGGGTCCTGGAAATGCTGGGCGTAGATCAAGAGGAGGAATCACAGGCGGTGTTGCAGATGACGAGTTGCCAGACTGGTGTGTCCTCGTCGACGACATACTTATGGTCCTGTTCAGCGGGCGGGAAAGAAAATTTGAATATACTGGCGATGAACCTGTTTAAATCAATTAGTTACGAAACCAAACTCTAGAAATCGCGCACGAACGTGACGAGTCACCAGTAAGTGAATCCTCTCGTCGTCTTGCAAATTGCGGAGCGACTGGGGTGGTGGGCGTGGGCGTTGGGCGTGCAGAGTACATAGCTACCACGCTTGTTGGTGTCATCATAGTACCCGTAGTACCACTCGCTCGAGAACCGGAGCCATCAGGGCTGCTTGGTAATGATACGTTACGCTTCTCAGGTGACATATAGTCTTGCTCAACAATTGGAGAGAGTGGGTGCCCAAAACTCTCCTGTACCGGTAGTCGCAATGAATGCGAGCTCTTGGAGGGTTGTAAGGTCCGCGTGCGTGGGACATTTGCTGGTGGTGAAGTGGGAGGTGGTGGTGGGAAATGATGAGGCAGAAGATTTGGTGCCGATGATGCGGCACGAGCAACCGAAGTTCCTCCAGACCCTCCGAGCCAGGAAACTTGCGAAGGGGTTTTAGGCGATTCGAGGCTACTCTGGGAGGATGATGCCGGCGTATGATTTTGCCAGTATGGGTAAGGGTGTGTCGGCACGCGGAGCCCAGGAGGCAGCGGGCGCTTAGGATTTGAAGGCGTAGTCGGAAGGGAGGATGTACTGTCAAGGGCTTGGGAGCCCTGGCTCTCCACAGGAGGATGATTCGAGTGGACTTCGGTTTCGATATGCACCTGGAGTTGCGAGTCAGCATCTTGCTGACGTTGTTTGCCCTTGCTATTGGATTCCGAGCCCATGAAGTGAAACATAGAGGTGAAGCAAATGAGAGATAGAGGACTGGGTTGGGTGAGTGGTGACAAAAGGCTTTCCTGTGGACTGCCCGCGTGCGATCAATGGCGTGGAAGGGTGGTAAGGGCGCTGGACGATCGATGAGTGTAAATACGTATAATGCGTAAGTACAAGGAAACCTCGGACACACGAAACCAGTGTCAGGTATAAGTACCGTGGACGGGCGGGCATGCAGGAGAAGCTTGTTGTGAAAGGTGAGGATGCCACGAAAAAGGGGGGCGTAAGAAGCACGATATCACTATCGATGCTCGTAGAATGGAATCGATTGACCATAGAGAGTAGGCGGCTGGCTGTTCAGATTATCATGTGAGGAGGCTGGCGAGCGCAAGAAAAGGCGTGTATGCCTCACACATAACATGAGGCGAGTACCTACCATATCGGCTAGTCATTAGTTGATGGTGTCATAAACCGTTGCGGACCACGGTTTGCAGTGAGTTTGCGGTTTTTATATCCAGTCAAGCTCTCTACATTCCAGCCGCTGCATCGGACGAGTCAGATTGAAAGTAGCAGGATGGCAATAAACCTCACCTCCCTGGGACATAGATAGCTAGATTGCATGTGTTTTCCAGTTGCCTGTTAAGCGGATAGTACTACATGAGGGATGTGAACGAAAGAGTAGCCAGTTGCAATGCCGCATGCAGGTCTCCTCATGGCCGCTGCTTGTCACGAATGACCATTTACACTAAAGAAATATCCAGCACATGGCTAGTGGTGTGCACGAGTCCGATAGGAGAAAACTAAATATGAACGACCGCATCGATATATGATTCGGCCTGCATAGGGAAGATGGCATACTGAACGTGTACAGCCACCTGTTAAACTGCATCACAGACCGTCGCGCAGTTTAACAGGTGGCTGTACACACTGCTTTGAACATCATCGGATATCTTCATGATATCGAACACAAAGTAATCAGATACATTGATGTAATCGGCAAACAACAGGGGAGTGAGGAATTAGTAGCAGTACGTATAAACAGTGTCAAGTATTGGTATCGTAAGTCGTTAGCAGAACCCTGTTCTGCACCAGCCAGCGTGCAATCCATCCTGTATCCATACATTCATCAACTAGATCTACGCACCGAGGACATACTCGTGCTCATTGATTAAATATAGCAATGAAGATTGCAAAAGTGAGTGTATGGTCCACGTTCATACGTCGGTCCCTGTGACTGCCGGAGTATCATCGACAGTAGGAGTGTCAAGTTCTGTGGCAGGTGCATCCTCAGCTGCTGAAGTAGAAAGTATCTTGGTATCATCCTTTGAATCATCTTCAGGTTGTCCCTCGTCCAAAATTACTTCAGACGAAGAGGCCACCGAATCGACGTCCGAATCATCTTGGGCGTCTTTCTTATCAGCATCGTCCTCTGGAGCCGTAGCCACTTCTTCTATCGATGTTGTGTCCAATTGTGGGGTTCTACCGGGAGAATCTGGCAGGGGAACTTCCTCGGGACCGGATGATGAGTCCGACTTCTTCTCATCCAATTCCACATCTTTCACCCCCTGCGTCACTGACTTAACATCCTCTCCCTCCTTCTTATCCGAGTCTGTTGGTATTGAAGGGGAACTGCCTTCAGCCTGCGTGGATTCCCCCTTTAGTTTCTTGACACTCGTAGAAGCAGAGTCATCATCGCCATCCTCAACGAAGCTGAAGCACCTCTTCCGACCTATCGTGGGTGCATTGGATGTTGCTGCATATCAGATCGATCAATTAAAACAATAACACAAGAGCACATCAGTTCCAAAAGATCGTCAAATCACCATGTTGGGATATGAAACACGACTCACCATCATCTCTCCAGGGCCGGTCTGGGCGCGGCAGAAATGAAGTTGAAACACGACGTATGAACTTGAACATTGATATAGTACGTGTCAAGCGAGATGACAGAGATATGAGCAGCAAAAGATATAGACTGGGGTAAGCGAAGGTTATTATCGATACAGTGATGTCCTGTTGGGTGGCTGATGTACTATCACGTACACCAGAAACCGAATTCACAACAGTTCAACGGACGTGAACGGTTAATCTTCTATTGACATTTGTTTGGTCATAGTATGATCTCTCTCAATTTTTGTTTTGATCTGCGGCAAATCGAAATTTCAAGGTCGTCAAGTTGCATACAAGCACGACAGGAAGTCATCGGTTCGTTCGAAGGCTCGCACAGTGACTCGACATTACACTGCCTGGTTTCGATGGTGCAGTGAATGCAGTTATCGCGCTTACGTAACGTGATCATGACTCGTCGAAGGACTATTGGAGGAAAGAGATCAAAAGGACATCTTGATTCGTGACGCTACACCAGTTGGCATAATACATATATTAGCCGATACCCTCGATCTCGAGCATTGGACATCTTCCTTTTTAATCACATCGATCCTCGTCTTCTCCATTACCAACGATCCAGAAGCTTCATCGAAACCAGAAGAGAAATATAACTACCATGACACTCGACGTGACTAGTTTCATAGACAACAAAGGAGGAAATGCTGAGGAAATTCGTGAATCGCAACGGAAGCGGGGAGAGTCGGTAGAACTGGTCGATCAGGTCATAGACATGTACGCGGAGTGGGTGAAGAGTGAGTTTTGATTGCCTTTCATGATCAGCGAGCCAGATCCTCTCAAAAGCGCGATCTTGAGAGCTGTCTATCTTGTAACATAGAACCCATATGCTGATCGTATTTTAAGTGGATTTTGAGGCCAACGGCCTCAGCAAGCAGGTCAACGCGGTGCAAAAGGAGATCGCAGCCAAGAAGAAGGTTGTTCTTGACGCTTATCTACTCACTTGCTTGAATTTATGATCTTTTATAGGCCAAACAACCAGCAGATGACCTAGTTACTGCAAAGAAAGAGCTAGATGCGAAGGTTGACGCGAAACGGAAAGAGACTCGCGAGTTCGAGGTCGAGATGCGGAAGAAAGCTTCGACAGTAGGAAACCTCGTGGCGAAGGATGTCCCAATCAGCTTGACTGAGGTGAGCCTCCGAGTTATGTCTTCCCCGTTTAACTGAGACAACATTTTAGGATGACAACATAACGCTCCGAACCTGGCATCCAGATGGTCCTAATGGTCAAGTAGAAAAGAAGACGAATATCATGCCTCACCATGAAGTTTTGCTCAGATTAGATGCAATGGACCTTGATCGAGGTTTGATTCTCGTTGCATTCATATTCTATAAGGTATTCAAACCAATACACTAGGTGCCAAGGTCGCAGGTCATCGCGGCTACTTCCTCACAAATGATGGTGTCGATCTCAACCAAGCCCTCATCACATATGCCCTTGACTTCCTCCGTAAAAATGGATACAAGAAAGTCCAACCGCCATTCCTCGTCAATAAAGACGTCATGGCAAAGACCGCGCAGCTTGACCAGTTTGACGAGGAACTGTACAAGGCATGACGAAGTTAAAGGATGGCGCCGTTCAAAACTAATTGATATCATCATACAGGTTATCGCAAATGACGACGAGAAATATCTCATCGCGACTTCGGAACAGCCCATATCGGCATTCCACCAAGACGAATGGTTCGAAGACCCTAAAACTCAGCTTCCCATATACTATGCTGGATACTCGACATGTTTCCGTAAAGAAGCCGGCTCGGCTGGACGTGACATGTGGGGCATCTTCCGTGTGCACCAGTTTGAGAAGGTTGAGCAGTTCGTGATCACTGCTCCGGAAGAGAGCTGGAATGCATTCGATACCATGCTGGGGAACAGTGAACGGTTCTATCAGAGCCTGGGTCTCTCTTACCGCGTGGTGGCGATCGTCAGTGGCGCACTGAACCTTGCAGCGTCGAAGAAATGCGATCTGGAGGCGTGGTTCCCATTCCAAGGTGCACTACAAAGAACTGGTTTCCTGCTCGAATTGCACGGATTATCGTAAGTTGAACTTTCATCCGTAAACTTCGCGTTGACGTGGACTCGGCGACACTACAGAGAGCAGGCGGCTAGAAGTCCGTTGCGGTCTCAAAACGAAGGACCAGCAACGGAAGGTTTACGTCCACATGCTGAACGGAACGATGTGCGCTACAGAACGCGCATTGTGCTGTTTGGTCGAAAATTATCAGACACCAGATGTAGTGCTCTTTCTTTTTGCGACGCGAGGGATTGACATTAATACCGCATTGACTCTCAGGGTCTCGTTATACCCGAGGTACTCAGGCCATATATGCAGGGACGGGACTTCCTACCATGGGTGAAGGAGCTGCCGAAGAACTTACAGAGGAAGCAAATATAGATGTGTCGTATATTCTGTTTTGTGCTAGTAGAATACGTGATTCACAGTCATGCACGTACGTTATCGTGTAGTATTCGACACGCGTATGAAAATTCAGGGTTAAACACCTTGAAAAAGAAGGAGCGACTGTCTCCAGGCCTTCTGTCAAGGTCTGACTACGGGATATCAGCCAAACACACACATCACCCGAAAATTCTTTAGAGCTTTAAACGGCCTCAGTGCAAGTTTTATCTAGATTTCCTGTATGTCCTCTAAAGTCACACATGTACGTCCCCGACTCCCAACGTCAGTGGAGGAGGGCTCTTGTCGAACAAGATCGGTTTCCCATCTCCCAAAACCTCCGCCAGTTACACCCGTGTTGGGGCCTTTTCTTACAATCATTTGACACCTTATTTATTACGAGGCATGAAGGTGAACTCTATTTCATGGACATAAAAAAGAGGTTTCAGCGCAATGACTGGGCCTACTTAAGACGGAGCTCCGAGGATCTATACGGCGCAAAATGTTGTCAGCAGGTTTCGAACCGACTGCAAGAGAAACAGATTTTGATTCTGTTGTGGTAACCACTTGGTTAAGACCAGTTAAGATGAGCCTCTGAGGGATCCATCTATGAGTGAATAGATGTGTGTGTTCCGATAGAAAAAGCCTTGTCGTCGGCAGGTTTCGAGCCTGCGCAACTCCAACAGAAACATATTTCGATTCTCTTGTGGTAACCACTTTGGCCAGGGCAAAGTTGAGAGAACCTCCGAAGAATCGTCCATGAGCAAATCTTCAAGGCATGTTCCGACAGAAAAAAACCTCATCGACAAGTTTTGGACCTGCACTGGTACAGTCCAAGAGACAGATTTAGATTCTGTTGTAGTGACCACTTCGGCCAGAGCGAAGTTGAGATGAACCTCTGAAAAATTGTCTATCAGTGAGTCTTCAAGGCGTGTTCCTATAGAAAGGAAAAACCCTGTTGTCCGGCAGGTTTCGAACCTGCACAATCCAAAAGAAATAGATTTTGATTCTGATGTTGTGGTAACCACTTGGGACGGGACGGTTCCTGGTCAAGTTGAGATGTATCAAAGGTGAAGAGGCTCGGACTAGAGACGGGAGGAGAAACTCAGTCTTCGCATTGAGAGACTAAAACTACGACAGCGCATACCTAGAGACGGAAGAAGAAACTAAGTGGGTAGTTAGAATGAAAATATCATATATCACTAAGTGCTGATACTCACCTCAGTCTCCGGATTGAGGGACTGAGGAGAGTTCGTTCTGAGACGCGAGAATAAAAGAAAGACGTTGGAGCGGAGAACGAAAGGGGCATGCGTAGAACACACTGTAGCAAAGAGTGATTGTGTATGTAAAGAAAGATACGTACAATAAGTGCATTCTGATAAGATGAACCTCCGAAGAACTGTCTATAAAGGTGTGATAAAGAGGGGAATCATTTATCGGCAGGTTTCGATTCCGCACCGCCCAAGAGAGCATGTTTCTGATCTGTTCTGGTGCCAGATGGCTATGACTACTCAAGATAGGCTTTGAAGGATCCATCCATGAGTGAATATTCAAGCTAAGGGGTGGTAAAAGGAAAAAGCTGATTGGCTGCGGCTTTACGCGTCGGAGCTTGAAAGGTACAGACCGACTCCCGGCAAAGCGGAGCCGCCCACTCCGAATTCACGCGACACAACCTTTGCCTCCCTTCATAACACACGGTCATGCAGACTGCCAGTGCACTGCGTTCCAGCGTGCGTTCCAGCGTGCGCTCGTTCGCTTCGTCGGCAAGATACCAAGCTAGTCCTGCCCTGAATAAGGAGTTCAAGATTTATCGCTGGGTGAGTGCTAACTGTAATGTATTTAAATATGGTGAACTGATGCATTTGTGTCTCAGAACCCAGATGACCCTGCCAAGAAACCTACTCTCCAGTCTTACACCATTGATCTTAACCAGACTGGGCCAATGGTATGTTCGCGCCCACATGTTTCTCATTGTGATATTTGAACTCGCCTTTTGTTTTCTTTTGTAACAGATTCTTGACGCACTCATCAAAATCAAGAATGAAGTCGATCCCACGCTAACCTTCCGTCGTTCGTGCAGAGAGGGCATCTGTGGTTCGTGCGCGATGAATATCGACGGTCAAAATACCCTCGCCTGTCTCTGTCGCATCGACAGAAACCCGAGCAAGAAATCTAAGATTTATCCTCTTCCTCACAGTACGTTCCTCATCGTGACAATTTTAAATCCCCTCAACACCTTCGCTTTTACAGTGTATATCGTGAAAGACCTGGTCCCTGACCTGACGCTCTTCTACAAGCAGTACAAGTCCATCAAGCCCTACCTCCAGAACGATAACTTGCCCGAGCAGGGCGAGTTCTTGCAAACACAGGAAGACCGCAAGAAGCTCGATGGTCTTTATGAGTGTATTCTATGCGCATGCTGCTCGACAAGTTGTCCGTCGTATTGGTGGAACCAGGATGAATACTTGGGTCCTGCAACGCTGATGCAGGCATACCGCTGGATCGCTGACTCTCGTGTACGTGATGTTCCTTCGTGAGATATGTCGTGGGACCTCATTCGCGTTTTTGGTGACAGGATTCATATGGTTCCCAGAGAAAGGAGCAACTCCAGAACGAGATGAGCATGTACCGTTGTCACACGATTTTTAACTGTGCGTTGCCTCAGTCACTTTGCGTGCCGTGTATCACAAATATTCATTGTTCACTCAAGGCGCACGTACCTGCCCGAAGGGTCTTAACCCTGCAGAAGCCATTGCGAAGATCAAGCTTGAGCTTGCAGCTGACTAAAGTTCAACAGTCTTGCGTGATACAAAACCACGATGGGACGGAACTTATGTGTGAATAGCTAGCTGGTTTTTCGCTCGTTCCAGTGTATCATCAGTGAACATATTGAAACATTTTATTTACTTGAAAGTTGACCTTGTGAGGGAAAGAATGAATCATCAACCAAGCCGCTCCGGCCCCAGGGCGTCACTTTATATCTAGACAAAAGCGACTTTTGGATCATGAGTACTCTGCCACAAACGTGCACAGTACCAGTGAGTAATCGTTGTTTGCCACTCGTCATTGTCTAATTTTCTCATCGATGTCATTGCCTAGACTCGGACGAAGAAGACACCAATACTTCGTGAGTAAGAACTTATAGCCGATACTATCGACGCAAGGTTGCAAGCCATATTTCCCTCGCACTACTGGCTCCTCACTGTCCTAGTGCTCTATCGTTGGGTGCGTGTAACTTGATCTCACTTGATTACGAACTCATCACCAAAATACAAACCCTTGATTTTTACAGTCTCGCTAAGTCGTAAGCACTCACCACATTATTTCCTTCACTTGTTTCTACTACCAGTATCAAATTTCTATGAACGTGCACGTTGATATTCAGCCCTACCCACTTCGATTTTGTACTGATGAGACACCTAACATGACAGTTACAAAAACGTCCTCTTTGCTCAGCTCCTCTCTTCGGCTTGATGCTCGCTGTGTCTTCGACTGTCCTCGTGTAACCTGAATCCAATACAACATGGCAGACAAACCTGAAGCGAAGGAGTATCGAATTGCCTTGCAGAATTGTCCCCCAGCCATGAATTTCACTCCGCCTGTCTCGACAACCTCAGGACTCAGCCTTACCACAGATTCCAGCAGCTGGGCGTCCTATCTGACCTCCACCAGCGGGGCATTCCGTCTGACCTTGACGAGGCCGTCGAGCTTCATCGAGCTGCACTACTTCTCCGCCCCCTGGTCATTCTCTTCATGGTGCGTTGAAGACGGCTGTAGAACTGGTGGAGAGAGGCCTTGCGGTATTCTGGACCCAGTTGACACGCTTCTGTTTACCATTCGATAATTTTTCCCTGTCTAATGACACCGGCACAACCTTGGCGGAAGAGTCCAAGCAGTTGAGCTTTCGCCTTCGTGACACATTCGACAAATCCGACAACTAACCATGTGGGATGATGTCGTCTCACGAATCCGCATACTTTCTGACTTTTCTTGTTTTCTCCTACCTCCTATGTTCTCCGACCTACAGAAGGCGGCAGAGGATGGTCCAGTCATTATTGTCAATACAAGCCAGTATTGCTATGATGCCTTGATCGTCCATGGCGCCCTTTTTTTAAAAAAAAAAATCAATGTTTATGTCCTATGGAGAGATGTACTCTATGGAGGACAGTTCTATCTAGTCTAGGGGACCCCCAGTGTCCCCAACGCATCACTGGGCGCACGAATGCCCTGGTGTAGGGCGTGCCCCCACCAGTCCGCCGTTCCCGTCGGCCGTTTTAGACGTGCCGCCCTTCGAAGATGAGATGACTTGTATGTATACAGGATCGATCAGTATGTTATTTAACCATTTTTCATTATAGTAACGCGTACTCGGCCGCTTTCGCGGACATGTACAGGGGTCGATTTGGAATTATGTGGAACATTTGATTGACGTGGACCCGGAGATGAGCAGTGGGTCCTTTGTTCCGAGTGGTGTGTTCTGTTAGGGCTGAAAAAGCGCTGGTGACTCCGTGTAGACGAGTGGATGAGACAGATGAGTTGGGACATGTATGTACAGGAGGGAGTTCGATGAGTCTTTGACGTGCGGGTATCTGTGGTTCGGGTGATCAGTCTGTCAAGGTGCGCGGAGTGGGTACTTCACCGAGTATGGCTCTCAAACGTCTGGTGGCGTTAACATATTCGACTAGGTGATGGGTAGCTTCAGGCTCTGATAGGAGGAATTGGACGGACGAGGCTTTGCGGCCTAGGGCTATGGACAGGCGGTGGCGTTCTCGTTGGTAGTGCGGACAAACTAACAGGAAGTGGTGCACGGATTCATCTAGTCCTGGGCAATGAGGGCAGGAAGGGCTAGCTGCTTTCTGAATGCGGTGCAGCCATGGCGCCCTGTCGACGTGCCACTCGATATTACACAAGCCTCGAGTTTCAGTCACTCGCAGAGCAATTTGGTTCTTCTGGTCATTTTCACAAACCTGTCAGCGTCGTGCGCAAGCTGTGGCACGATATCGTTGACCCCGTGGTCCAAGCTCTCAGGGTGTCTAATGTTCACCCTGGCTCGCGTATCTAGCGGTGTCTCACTATTGAATCAAACTTCGTTGTCTATGCGCATGGACTCTCGAGCCTGGGATTACACGGGCTCGGTAGCCATCTGTAATACTGTCAGTAAGACTCTTCCTACTGACATCAGAACCTCCGGGGGATTTTGCACTTGTCGGTTTATTAACTTGCTGCAGAGCTAATTCCAAAGCTGGACGAGTAATGATTTCCTACAAGGGTTGCCTGTTGAGGGTGGACCCGAGTAGAAGCAATGATGGCCACAATTGACGGGCACAAACAGTGCCTTCCCTCTCGGTGACGATTTCATCATGCAATCGTAGTTTTGATTTCCTGTCGCAAGGCAGCAGAAGGTAAAGTACAAGTGCCTTGGGAGAATGTTTCACGCATCATACGTACTGCCAGCACTTACACCCTGCCTGGGTTACATTTGTTGCAGTTTGTTCCAGTATGGAGCTGCTCTCAGTGCAAATGGCGAAAAAGTGCCCCTCTTGTCTATCCAGAGAATGCTGCTTTCCGCAAAGATAGCTGGGTTTCCCAAGCAACAAGTCTGCGCAAAAGGTGCGGGTGATATCCGTCATTATTCTAGCCATCATGTTGATTCATGCACTCCAAGTTAGATGATGCACCCGACTCACAGATACCACCCGAACCACAGATACCACGTAAGTTCACGTAACTCACGCGCCAGTTTGAAGATGACTTACTCTTTTTCCAGAGCTGCCTCAGCAATATATCAATCCATCCGAAGCTGATCGCGCTGTTCGACAGGCCATTGACGATCAACTGGAAAATGCCCCACTTCGTGTAATCGATACTTCCACCGGACGCTTATGCAATCGAGAGGCACAGACCAACGTCTTCATGAGAAGCATAGAGTACAAGGAGTTGTTACCATCGATGCCGCGTGAACCCCTCCAAATGGAGCCCATCAGAGAAGCGGTCGCGTAGTTCTTCAGTTGGGTCATGTTGTCACATAGATAGGAAAGCAAGGAGCCGCTGCTGCGCGACATTCAGTACAAGGACATGTGCACGTTAGATCCAGTTGGATCTGTGGTGAAGTTGCAGAAGCTTTGCAAAGTTGCTCGCGATGCGGGGCATCGCCGGGCATGGGTCGATACGTGCTGCATTGACCAGAACAACAATGTAGCTCCAAGAATCAGTCAACTCTATGTTCATCTGGTATCACCGCTCAGCACTCACCATCGTCTATCTATCGGATGTTCTGCCTTCGTCACAGTCTATCGCACTCGCACGCAACGCTTGGAACACGCGAAGATGGTCTTTTCAGGAGTTGTCGGCTTCTGTAGTCGCGCTCCGAACGCAGGTACGCCTCTCCTTCTACGTACTAACAATGCCTTTTGTGGCCTCTTTGCCTCAAAAATCCACGGAGCGAACATTTGTGTCGAGTAATGCTAATGTTGGAAGTTCGTTGTTGCGTTCGTTGACCGTACCCTCGTCTCTTCCTTTCGCGCCGGTCTGCACCCTTAGTGCTGATGCATTCCAGGGACGTTGACATTAACACCATAATAGAGTTTCTGGTTGCCCCACTGCAATACGGATGGATGGGTGAGACGCATGGTGCGTCCAAGGACGAAGGCTATGGCAATACTGCAGCGAGACATGAAACGAATGTGCGAAACGACGGCTTACAGGCAAAGTCTGACACGCGAGACCCGGTAGACACGAAGATTGCTGAGACACAAGAAAAACAGGCTTGTCTGAGGAAAAGAAGGGACGCGGTGGCGCAAAGGGAAATATAGGTTCGTTGATTGACTCTTTGTCGTCTTTTCCTCTGTGTGTGTCGTCTAGAGTCGATTGTGCCATGGGGTAGGAAGGGCTGATTTGTTTCGTACTTGAGACAGGAGATTTTGTGTTTTTGAGGGGTCTGGTGGACCGGAACGGGGTGCGTAAGGATGTGGTGGTATGCCTGTAGGAGCGCCTGTTCTGTTTGTATGGTTGTAAGATGAGGTGGCTGTTTGCACTAGCGCTGACTGGTGGACGCGAGGGTAGGCATCACTCTAGGGTGGAAGCTTAGGGTTGACTCTGAATAATCGACCTGTGTCACACAGTCAAAAACGGTGTTGGAGGGTATATATGCATGTGGAATAAGTAAGGGTGACTTTTCTAGTTTTACGGGGTGAGACGTTGACGTTAGCTATATACGCTTCGCAGGCGCGATGGATGAGGAGGAAGTCTGGGGTAGTTGAGCGGTTGAATAAGTCGTCAGAGTCGTCGCCAGTTCTGGGTCGAGAAGAGGTGTCATATCATCTTCGTGACCATCGTCGAGATAACCTGATGATGAACAAGAAGTAGATAGCTACCTCTGAATCCTAACTTAGAGATCGTCGAATCTCCTAGCACTGCTGCTCGCATACTACCTCCCAAGATCTTTTCCTTGATGAGAATACTTAATACTGGTCTAGTTCTTCCAGGTTCATACTGAGGACTCCTAACGAGTTCAACACATCCCATGCAGATGTTCTGAACGTCCGGTGTAGTTGCCACAGACAGAGGATAGTAGAACTGGATAGTGGCAAACGAGGCTGGTAAGAACGATAGAAACATGTGATGCCGACCTCAAAAGATTGTAATCTTTATGATGGTTGAGTCGAGGATGATTGTCACTACAGCTTGAGATGTCATCCAGTATTCAAGATTCAAGATTCAATGTCCATCAGGTCTGTGGCGTTGATAATCAAGTGACGACCTTCTGGCAAGCTCGGTCAATGTACAATATTTACGCAACTCACACGCAAAAAACTCAGTACTCAGCGCTAGCATACAGTGTAGAACAATGTGATCATGATGCACCGTTCTCATATTCCATCCTGCAGTTGCCTTTCGGCCCTTTCGAATTCAGCAACAGCACCACCTTCTTCACCTTCAAATTTATTTTCCCAATCCCACTGGTCTATGATCTTCTCTTTCAGAATCTCCATCTCCTCTCGTTCGTTGCCTCGATCTGTCCCATCATAATAACCAGGTGCGCAAAAATTGTACATCTTTCCTGCACGTTTCGATTCACGTGCTACGAATTGGCTGAACGGGAGGCGGACGCCCTGGTATGCTTTCAGCGCGACGGGCACATTATCCAATGTTGTGAGTGGATGTGCAAGAAGGCGACCAAGCACAAAGGCATCCTTGATATAAGGAGATGAGTTTGCATGGTCTGCTAAACGAACATGCCATACCTCGATTGCCTGACCAGCTCCAGCGCCACAGTAGGGCGTCATGGCATGGGCCTATGTACACGATCTAGTCAAAGGATCGTCGTGGCAGTAAAGAGAAACCCACCGCATCTCCTATCAGCGCAACTCTGTCGCAAGTGAATGAGGGCAATTCATTTACCACGTGAAGCGCCCATCTTGAGGGTTTTTCGAAACACTGCGAAAAATGCTCATCAGTCTAGAACAGCATAGACGACTCGGCCCAAAAAATTACGTTCAAAAGGCGCTTAGCATCAGGCTCGAAGTCCTGATATGCTTCCTCAACCTCTTCTAGTGACACATCTGAAACCCAATGGCCTTCAAAAGGTGTGCCAGCTTTCTGTTCATCAGAAGCATATGCTGCGACATTGATCTGCGTTCCTTGCAAAACCGGATATGAGACGATGTGCTTTTAAGTATTCGTTAGCAAGCAGGGACCAGTTGATTGTGGTAAATTACCTTTCCCTTCCCGCAGAACTGTGAAATGAAAGTTATTCCTGACAATCGTGACCGCTTTCTGAGGACTTACTATGATGAAATCCTTCAAAGCTACGTTACTTGGATCCAATTTCGAGAGCTTCTCCGCTGGAAAGACGCTACGATAGACAAGCGTTCCGGTCCAAGATGGATCACTGTAGTGTCTTATCTTGTTTGGGTCTACGGTGCCTGGGCCTACTGTTTCGAAAAATGTCTTCCGCACTGATGAGTGGACACCGTCTGCCCCTACCAACACGTCAGCAGTCGAGGTGCTGTCATCAGCGAAACAGAGGATGAGTGATCCTGGTGACTGCTTTTCATACTTGGTAAGTCGTTTATTAAAGTGGATAGTGCATGACGACGGGATGCTTTGCTTGAGAATGTCGACGAGATCCTTTCGATGCATAGTGGAATTCCGTCTAACTGTGAGAGGTCTTGTCATCTTCCTCCCCAGTTCGAAATAATGGAGTTCACAGACAAGTTTTAGAGATATAATGAAACCACTCAAAACCACCCTTCAGGGCATTAGACTTCCTTAATCTCAGACCTGTCGAAACGAATCAAGTTAAACGCAGTTGTAAGACGAGATCTCGAAACAGACCATAACTAGATGAAGGGTGGGAGATTTTTTCATAGAATCCGAGTTCCACCATGACCTCCACCGTGCGTCGCGAGATTGAAATCCCAGCCCCAGCGGTCGTGAGGGCATCATGCGCTTCGTATAAGTCTATGTGGATATCGCGCCCTGCAAACTTGCCAATCGTGATGGCGAGGACAAGCCCTCCTATACCTGCACCACTGCATAGAGAGTTCAGTCTGCGTCCCGTTTGTAAGAGGTTATCCGACTCACCAGATTGCTACTCGAAACTTGGGAGTGGAGGATGAGATCGACATTGGCCGTGCGTTAGCCGAATTGGAGTAATAGCATAGGCCGAGTGGTCACCCCGGTCCTGAACTTGTTGTCGCCCGGTCGCGCTATTTGAGTCAAGTTCTTCTCGCGGGTCTTCGGTGCAAGGGTAAATGAGGTTGGTGCTGATGAATAGTGGTCCGATTGCTTTATATACTTCTCGGTTTCCGAATTAGATTCCGATTTCCCTCAGCGCGTGATGTAGGCACCTTGCCAGCTGAGTCCTGTTTGAATTGGACTTATCAGACACATAAATGCCGATATCGATTCAAGGGTGTGCCTATGGAGATCATGCCAGTGATGTAAAATATCTGCGTCGCTCTCATTCCTCGTTGTCCTTGCTCAAGTGCACATAACTTAGCCATTGATCAGAGAAATACTGCAAACACATACCAGAATGAACATCAGGGTGGTATGGTCACGGTCCTGATTGTTTTGCCTGTTGAGTATTTGCACCAGGAATTGACAAAGACAAATTTCAATTAGTAATTGCGTTCTTGTAGCAACCATACTTGCCTACATAGCATCCAAATTTTAATACGAGCACAGGTCGGCCTTCCCAAGATCTCCCGAGTTCGTGACGCTAATCATCGAGTCTCCCTCGGAGTCGCATGCAGGACTCGTCACCCAGTGTTGTGCCAAACGGCTGTCGTAATTTCGGAGTGACCCGTTCAAACGTTCAACGTTCATGCACATGACCCAACTCGTCCGAGCTTTGACTTTGAAGTGGTTCAGACCCCACGTCATTTCAGGTGATGCAGCAGAAGTATGGTAGTAGAAACGGGTACGTTTTCTCACATCGTGCAGAACATTCGCTGAGTACTGTGACAGTAACGCCTAAACAGTGAATCAATGCGAAGTCTGACATTACAACGAACAAGCCGACGAGGGTTGTTAATTCTTCAAAGAGTGCGTGTACGATGGCCAGTGACTTGCCAGTGACCTATGTAAGTTTGCAACGACTCCATACACAGATCTAGTAAAATTGACAGAAGAGGATATTAAGCAGCAGAATGGATGTCTTGAGCAGGTTGTGAAAGGAGCGGGAGGGACGGAGGGAGTTAGAGGGGCAGCTAGGGAACCCAGAACGTGTACTTGGCGGCTTCGATTCTAAGGATTAACTAACTTCCGATGCTCGTAGCGGTTGAAGCGGAAAATTGTACGTATCCCGTCCGTCAAGTACGCAAACTTGTTTTCTGATCGTTTGCAGCTTGACAACGACTCTCCAAACATTGTCTGCTGTGAAGTTGAATTGAGACTAACAGAGTTCGAAGAAGAGTAGTCGGAGTCGTCACAACAGAAAGTACTCTCTTTCCTACTCTCACTGCAGGGCCTAAGATTTAGGTGTCGTGGCTGAGTATCTCTGAATACAGGAAACAACATTCAGCACATCGAGCTATGCTGGTCACGTCTAGCTATAGTAGCTGGGACACGGGCGTTAATTGATAGAATGAAGCTGTATGTACTGACAGCGCTGCCACCAATATTGCAGCTTCTGAAGCGCCCGCTGATCTCCTAGGCTATCATGCTTCCATAATACATTGTTTTGAACAATTTGGACTGATGCGGTAGACTTGCTGTATACACGAGGTGTGCGGCGCTCGAGCTCAAGGCTTGTTTCTTTCCTGCCATGTCGTGCCAGTATCATGCTCGAGGTCGTTGTCGTTTCGGAACGAAGTGCAAGTTTAGCCACGAAATCCAGGCAAGTTTTCACTCAGGAATTCTGGGTCTGGGTTGTGTACTGAAGCTTATCATTACAGGGTGACGCATTAGCACGCACTCAGCATGTTGAAGGTGCTGAGTCGAGTCGTACTAATGTCAACCATCCATTCGATCATAAGGGTCGTCGTCAACACAACGGCCAACAGAATTGCCAGCCCAGGGCGGTTCAGCCACAGGTGCAGCGCACCATTTCTCAAAGGCCAACACCAGAGAATTCCGGCCATATGTCTGTTGGGCCATCCCGAGGTTTCAAGGGTGGCGAAGTCTGTCGCACTTGGAAGGCCGGGACGTGCACAAGAGGCGCCAAATGTCGCTTTCTGCACAGTATCGAAGTACGTAAATATTTTGAGCGCCTTTCTTCCTTGTATTTAGCTTAGTAATTATCAGGAACATCTTGAAGGTGTTGATCCCCAACAAGTTGAAACAGAAGAAAAGTTGGCCGTGGAGGCTCGTGCAACCGAGATTGCCAAAGCTCGTGCAGCTGAGATCAAAGCTCGTGCAGCCGAGATTGCCAGAGCTCGAGCAGCCGAGATTGCCAGAGCCCAAGCAGCTGAGATCAAAGCTCGTGCAGCCGAGATCGCCAGAGCCCAAGCAGCTGAGGCCAAAGCTCGTGCAGCCGAGATCGCCAAAGCCCAAGCAGCTGAGGCCAAAGCTCGTGCAGCCGAGATTGCCAGAGCTCGAGCAGCCGAGATTGCCAAAGAAGCCGCTGCGAAGACAGTTCAGAGCGTTGTGCTTGGGTCCATCGTAACCTTCAGCGCAGGCCTTGATTTGTCTCACCTAATCACCGGATTTGAGTGCTGTACCTTGCGTATTGCAAATCTGCCTCCCAATGTGCGGGAAGATGAAATCAATACGCTGTTCACGGACCGCGGCCTTGATCGAGGGCGCTTCCATCTTGTCAACGTCAAGCCCATGCCAAGTGGTGGAAAGCTTAGTGCTGAAATCATCACAGACGCTGAGTCCGGGAAAGCACTCTCGCTTGACCTCGGTGGCCTCGAGTTTAGGGACGAAGTTCTGACTCTCGAAGTATCAGGCTACAACAGTCCCGGAAGTATGTCTGCGGCAACTGAACGTGACAGCAATGTCCTTACGATATCCTGGCGTGTCCCGTCCGTGCGCTATGTTGCAGAGTACCCTGTCACGGTAAATGCTGCTGCGAAAGCGCAGGAACTTAACCGCCAGATGTGCTCTGGGCGCCGGGTCAAAGTTGAAGTCAACACCATGCCACCTGGCCATTTCGTACCAACATTCCACGACAACTCGGTCAAGATTAGTTTTCTTCCCCCAACTGTCTCTGACGAAGAAGTTAAAACATTTTGTGGTTCGGATGTTGTCAGGCAGTTGAAGGGGAAGGGTGAAATTTTTAACGAAGACGTCAGTCATATTACTACCACATTACGGGATGATATCGACTGCGTCTCTCCTGGAACCCTGAAGTCGCTGGAACCGCTGCTGCCGACTCCAAACATCGATGGTATCGTTCTGGTCCGTGCGCGGTTTTCTTCTTGGGAGGACGCGAACGTGGTGCATACCCGTCTCCTTAACCATCGCATCGGGAACGTGTCCTTCTGGCTCCGGCTCCCGAATCCCACACAGTACTCGATTACTATCTCCACTGAGCAGTTCCGCGCACAAAAGTCTTTGTGGGATGCCTTGATTGGTAGCATCAAAGACAAGCGTGTATGTATGCTGCACATTCACGAGCAGGGTGCCGTTGTCCGGATGCGTTTGTCTGGCTCCAAAAAAGAGGCTATTGGCGCGCTCAAAGTTAGAGTGGAAAGCCTGATCGCAGGTGAGAAGGTGGAAGGGTGGCACATGACACTCGGACACCCAAACAACATTTTTTTGCGTTCGGTTTTCGACAACACAGGGGCACTCGTACGTGCAGATTGGAGACGACAGGTTTTGAAAGTTTATGGGGAGTCAAAAGCTGTTGAACAGGCTCGTGAGTCGATCAAGGACAAGCTGGAGCAGCTCTCGTCCCTCGAGTATACCAAAGTACTCGCGAAACATTCCGTTCGATTTTTCCTCGCACGTGGAATCCCAGAACTGAAGGAAACTTTTGGGGAAGACAACGTCAAATTCGTTATATCTACACGGAGAATCACAATTTCTGGTGGCGAGGAAGCTCGACATGCCCTCGAGCGCTTGATCCAAGGTTCGCTCAGTGGACCACAGATCTTCCCAGACCCGTCAGGACAGCAGTCCTGCCCGATCTGCTATGACAATGTATCTTCCCCGCTTCGTCTTGGCTGTGGGCACATCTACTGTGCTCCTTGCATGCGTCATTTCTTAACATCCGCTTTGGATTCCGGTCAGTTTCCACTCACGTGCATGGGTGATGAAACCCAGTGTAAAGTCCCCATTCCTATACCCACTATTCAACAATTCCTCCCTCAAACTTCCTTCAACCGCCTGCTGGAAGTAGTATTCAACGCGCATATATCTCGACATCCGCAGGAATTCAAATATTGCAAGACACCGGACTGCAATCAGATCTACCGCTCCACCGACCCCAACACTACGGTTGTAGGCCAGTGCCCTTCGTGTTTCTCAAATATATGTACATCCTGCCATGATGATGTCCATGACGGCATGAACTGTGCCGAAAACAAGCGACAGACTGGACGCGTTGCTGAGGAGCGAGAAACAGAGGCATGGCTGGCAGCTCATGACGGGCGCGTGAAAAAATGCCCAACCTGTCAAGCACTGATCGAGAAAGTGGATGGCTGCAATCATATGACTTGCACACTGTAAGTTATTCTAGACGCGCCCCGCTCCTGTTTGCATTTAATTAATTCGCTCGGGTACAGGTGCAAGAGCCATATTTGCTGGCGATGCATGGGTGTCTTTCCCGCCACTACTATCTATGCGCACATGAACAGCGCACATGGCACGATCTACGATGCGAATCCCGTTGACGAGCCTGTCAATGTACGCGAACAGCACTGGCTGTTCGGATTGGCAGCACAGCAACGTCAGCAGCAGGAAGAGCTGCGCGACAGGCGGGCCGAGCAGGTGCGAATCGAAGAGCGGCAAAGGAGGGAGGACGAGGACGCGATGTTAATATTCAGAAGAGAAGCAGTAAGACGCGAGGCAGCAAGACTAGAAGATGCGAGGCGAGTAGAGGCAAGGAGAGACGAAGCGAGACAACGTGCTGCTTTCCAAGACCATTACGGTCAAAGGCTCGTGGAAGAGAGAGCGAGAACCCGAGCGCAGCAAGAGGAACGACCGGGCTGGGGTTGTAATATCATGTAACGTGTGCTCATGGAGGGAATGTCTAGTCAGGATTCTCATTACACAAGACAATGTATGCCAAGCAACTATTACAAGTACAGATACATGATGTGGATATGATTTAAAATAAATATGCGGAATCGAATGCAAAAACGAGTAAGATTGTCAACTTCCACTCGATCAGACGGATCACTATAGACAGCATATTAGTCGACCAGTTCGAAATATGTCTTGAACATGGACTCGTGGCATAATGATGTGTTGGATATGACGCCGTGCACATGCATGAAGAGGCGGGGGAAGCGGCGGGTGAAGTAGGATAGGAAGCCTTCCGGCATGGGACCTAGATGCCGCTTAACATGATCTGGGAGATCTTGATAATGATGTTTCTACAAGTCCACGTTAGCTTCTGGCAGAAAGGATTTTTGTACACGATTTAACTCACTTTATTTCGCAGAGCCCTGAGTAAATCTTGCACAGACTTGCCATCGTACTTTCGGTACTTGCCCAGGTTCTCAATGAAAACCTTATCCAACCGCGCATGCCAATCTTGACCGACGATATCAAAAGCGCCAGTTTCGAGAATGATCAGGTTTTGGTCGCGGGGATCTCGGCACATGATTTCGAAGCGGTCTGATGCGTCTTGCAAGAAGTTCAAGCGACGTCCTGGGTCCCAAAAAAATGGATGTAGAAGACATAATGTCGTGTCGGGCCTATACACAGAAATTACAACCCCAGAAATAGAACATTTACGAGAAACGTACCTGTTGTAGGCTTCAGGATCTAACATATTGGTGATTAAATCTACCGCCTCAGAACCCTCTTCGCCAAACTGCTTCAGGCCATCTAAGGATTTGGCATTTTTTAGAATGTTGACCTCCCGCTCGAACCGATCCCCAAATGGATGTAATCCGTTAGTGAGGGCGTAGTAAAATAGGCATCCCAGCGCAAAAATGTCGACAGATTTAGTCAGCCTCGTTGGCTTGCCTGATGTTGACCCATTCACTGCAGTACTGACGCTGCCTCGCGATGATTGTGAGTGGTCATCACTCATCGAGTCGTCAAGTTTCACTTCCCCCCTGAGAATCTCAGGCGCTCTCCATCCGACAGTGCCTGCAGCCATGGCCCCGTGTGCTGTCGGCAGGAAACTCGTTTGGTCCATCTCGAGTTTCTTACATAGGCCGAAATCAGAAATGAGCATCCTCCGTCCGCCATCCCTTCCTGATGCACCCTTCTTTGGTGCAGATATGAGAATATTTTGGGGTTTGATGTCGCGGTGAACAATCTTGAGCGAGTGCAGGTGTCGGAGACCAGATGTTATCTGGCGGAGGGCACGCTTTGGGTCGAATGAGTTGGATATCTCGCGAAATCGGTCGGGGCTCTCAATGACGTCTGCAAGGGACGCGGGGCAAAGCTCGAGAGCAATGTAGAGGAAATTAGCATGGGCTTCTTGATAGTAATATCGGATGACATTCGGGTGATCGTCCGATTCTTGGAGAATACCAACCTCGCGGGAGGCAAGAGTGACAAAATCTTGCAGAAGGCGCTTAACAGCTACTGCACGCCCCTGGAGGGAGCCTTGGTATACAACCGTTCCGTGAGATCCAAAACCTTGTGGACGTGTTAACAGATAAGACGGATTTCATTATCAATACTCACCTAGTATAGTATCAGACACGACCAGGGAAGATGTAGCCGCCTGCGGCGTCTGAGGCACCACGAGTGTGGGAGAAGGGGTATTCGGGCTGTCTTTGACCACAGCCTCGGGAACATGACTGTTTGCATCCTTGTCATCCTGATCATCCTCCATGCCATTAATGGCTGCCCCTGTGCCCTTTCCTTTCTTGCCCCTGCGACCACGTCGAGGGCGTTTCTTCGGCGTTGGAGTCTCCCTGTCACTATCATCTGCCTCTCCAATATCAAGTGCTGTCGTGCCGGGGGTATCAAATTGTACAAGCTCTGGGAAGTGGTTGGGAGGTTGCAGTACGTGAGAAGGGGTGTCGTCTGGTGATAGCATAGGTCCCGAGTTAATGGTAACTGGTGTGGGTTTGGAGGGAACCAGGGATATCTCCACTGCATGTATGGCAGGGGTATCTAGGCGAGGAGGCGGTGTTGTCATATGTCCATCTGTCTTTTCCTCGATGGAACTTGGTACAGAGACCGTGGCGGGCGCCATCTGAAGCCTCATGCGGGGTAGCTTTGATCGGAATATGAACCCGGCCACAAAGGCGGTGGCGAGCATTATGGAACCAATGGTAGAGATGGGTGATGTTGGGCCGAGTACCTTCGTATGTGCACCAGAGCTAGTGCCCGACCACGGCATCCAACCTGGTACAGTCACGGATGTGTTGTCCCTGGGATCTGACAGGGTGGGCATGGCCTCTACGGCATCGATTGGTGGATTCGAGTTGTCGCCAGGAGGCAGCATCGCACCAGGAACACCTGGGAGTTGTTTGTTATTCAAAGACGAATCAAGGTGGTGTTTACCCGTGAGGCATTTGGTATTGTCTGGATCACGTTCGCATAGCTCCACCATCTTGCGCCGCCGAGTGATACCGTCGACAGACTCGATGAGTTTGTGGTTGAATTCAGTGTCGCCGAATGCGGTTAGTGGAAAGTGGTCCACACCCATTACGTAGAGTGACTCTTCGACAAGTCCGACATAAGCTGTATTGATATCAAGGGAGGATACATCCGATCCGCGCAAGAAGTCAGGACGAGGTTGCAAGAGGACGAATGGATCTGGCTTCTGAGCGCTCAACAGAACATCAAATACAGCCACTCTATATAAAATGTTAGAAACATTCCGATAATACGCACGGTATTCCTTACATGGGGCTATCAAAATGGTTTGTCCACATGAACTGCGCTTTCTGCAGAGAGTACGGACCTGCAGAATCATTTTCATGTGCTTTAAGTGAAACGATTGTGCCAGTGGGTAGGGAGTCAATGTATGTGCTGTCTTGCGTCTTCCGGTACGCCGCTTGCAAGACATTGTCCTGGTTGTTGGGACCATATGTGGAGAAAGACAGATTCTGTATAGGAACCTTTCGACCATTGGGGGTATTTGAGCGGGTGAAGATGGATATTTGGTAGTCTTGCAAGGAAGTCTGGTTCAGATGTAGTGACTATGAAAGCAATAGACACCTACCGGTACGTCCAATGAAGACCTCTGTCGGAATGAACCTCTCCTTGTTTGGCATATAATCTTCAAGTTCGTCTAGGTCAAGCTCCTCCTTGTGGCTGAAATTTTCAAATGGACCCCAAGGGCATTCAGCATTAATGGCCTTGACTTTCCCAGTTTCCAGTTCTATTGACACTAGAGATGTCTCTTTCTTTCCCACAAAGACCCGCTCATCGTCATCCCGCGCAAATTTAAAAGGCGACATCTCGACAAGCTGTGCCATGGAAAAAGAGAGGCGTTGGAGTTTACTACTGGGGGTAGCCATCACATATATGTCACCCGACTGTGGTTCGATCATGTACACCTCATGATGGGCGTCATCATCGTCCGTCAAGTCAGAGTCATAGGTGACATGTCTGGTACGAACAAGCGGCGCAATACTAGACGGAGCCCCGTGCGCAGAATACGACATAGACCAGAGTTTCTGTCCAGAGGTACGGTTAAGTGCGTGGAATCGACCATCGACGGAGGCAACAAGAACGATATCGAGCAAGGTCACATCCTCTTTATCCTCTGCAAATGATGAACCGCTTGCATATCGAGCGCTAATCGCTTTAGTATTGGGGCCGTTAGAGAGGACGTTGTTGAGACCAGCGTGTAGCGTGACTGTCTGGGCAAGACATATAGTTGCGAGTAAAACGATTAACGTTGAGAAACGAGATACGGAGGCCATGGGTTAAGAGGGATTTTCTCTTCCCCATTGACCGACACAGATGAAACGCCGTTTAGGACGCTGTGCAGGCGCATTCATCCCGACGCCTAGACTACCGGCTGGACTGTAAGACCATTCCGACATCACCGGAGACGTGGGAATGTTAGTCCCACGGTACATACCGTGTCGTTCTGGAACTTAGACTCAAGTTCGCAACTTGGCTTGCTGCTTGCCCTCACCTGAAGTCTAGCTGAGAGCCGTGCACGTTATTTTCATGCCGGACATTCCGGTTGGATCCCAGATCTTTGACCTCGCGTTTCATCCCACGCACTCGACCGTATATACTGGCCTTCTTAATGGAAAGGTCAAGGCCTTTCGGTATGATGAACAAGGACAACATGAAGAAAGCTTTGTGTTAAGGCCTTCCAAACGTTCTTGCCGTTGCTTGGATACTAGCGAGGATGGGTCTCGTCTTTGGGCAACCGGAAAGGCAAAAGCTATTTTGTATGATCTATTTTGATATTTGGACTATTGTTTATAGTACTGAAGACATATAGCACAATCGATACAACCACTGGAACGGTCAGTGAGACACGCAAAAATGCCCACGAGTGAGTTAGTGATTTCCTGATGTGACTCCATGCTTCGTTGAGGCAGCTGATGGCAGTGCCTATTAAAGTTCCCCAGTGAATCGCATCAAGCGCCTCATGCCTCAGATGTTAGGCACTGGTGATGATGACGGAGTAATCAAGGTCAGCCGACTCCGTTTGATGCGCCACAATCAACACCTTACTTATCTGTGGATAGCTGTGGGACCCTCGAAAGTCTGATCCCATTCGAGGTTATACTCATCATTATGACTTCATCTCTGATTTCCTTTGGTTAGACGATAAGAAGCAACTCATCACAACTAGGTAAGCAAGCACCCATAGCGACAGTATCCTCCGCATTCCAACACTCCAATTTTTTTTATTCTGTGCGATAATCAAGCGGCGATGGTACACTATCAGTGATTGATGTACGTGGAAAGAAGCCGGAACCGGTGGCACAGTCCGAGGATCAGGAGGATGAGTTGCTCTCTATTGTTGCTATTCGAAGGTACTTCCACCTATATATGTATTTAAACATGCTCATTGTGTGTATGCGAAATGCCGGGCTAATAGCGGATCTAAAGTAGTAGTCGGCACACAGACGGGGATTCTATCCGTGTTTAATCGTAGCCATGGATGGGCAGATTGTGTCGATAGAGTTCCCGGGTAAAAATAATCTGTTGCTGGATGCTTATCTGAATACATCTCTCATCGTCGTTGCAGGCACCCCCAGTCGATTGACGCCCTTTGTACGCTACCATCGTCATACCCGTCCTCTCACTCTACGATCCTGACGGGATCGTCTGACGGTCTTCTACGGGCCGTGCAGCTATTTCCTACCAAGCTCCTTGGGGTTGTTGCTGACCACGGGTCTTTTCCCATTGAAAGAATTGCAGTCGATCTCGGTGGGGAGGGAAGATGGGTCGGTAGTGCAGGTCACGATGACACACTCAAGATGACAGATCTCAGGGCCGTTTTTGAAGATGAAGAGGGTGAAGAGGCAGTTGACGAATCCGAAAATGTACAAATTATCCAAGCCTCGGACATAGACCCGCAGGAACCCGACGGAGCTGTTGTCGAAACCCGAGCACCCCCCGAGGGCACCGCAGTAGTAATCGGGGCCTCTGACAGCGACGAGGACGTAGGGGGCTCTTACTCCTTGAAGGAGAAGAAAAGAAAATCGAAAAGCAGTAAAAATGCATTGGCAGGGAGGAGCAAAAAGGCGCGGAACCAGATTGACGCGGACCCTTCCTTCTTCAAGGGCCTATAATCCTGGCACCGACGTGAGGCATCTTGCACATACATAACCAGCATCACTGCCCTCGACGCTGAACTAACTCCCTAGGTGCATCTCATCGCTTTACCTCCCGATGCGGGTAGTACTTACAGCCGTTCAGGGACCAGAGGGCTCAATGTTATACTTAACCCGTCGGGAGGTTCAGGCAGGCTGTGAGATCAGTGCATCCACGACTATCCATCCCTGTCAGTGTTTTGGTTGCTACATTCTGCATCATCTTAATGAGATCCGTGGGGTTTGGTTCTGGATGGGTCCCAAGTCTATTAATGGACAGATAGATCTGCCGCTTAGATCCTCGTTGTGTGATAATTGTGTTATCTCATTTCATTCGCGTTGGCTCACATTACACATCCCATCCGTTCTTCTATGCACACTTCCGCTCCTGCATGTTCAAAGATTCATATTGAGAGTGGTTGGAATATGAACATGACCATCAAAATTTTAGAAGTAGCGCCAAACCACGTGACACGGCATGCACGGATCTTTTGGATTGTCTCAAAATTTTAGAAATTTTAGAACTTAAACCACGGCCAACCACCACAGAGTCGCAATCTGCTTTGATCGTAGACTGCAGCACTCATACGTAAACATTTTTGCTTACTATATAGCACTCTCTTCAGTTTTAGCGGTATGATGTTGTTGCGCCACACAGTCTGCGGAACTCTTCAAGGCGCACGGAGCTTGTCGACGCGCGCATCGGCTATCCTTTCGTCGCTTGACATCCCTGCTGGTGCTGCGGAACTCCCAGGCGTTTATGACGGGCAGTGGTCTGGCTCTGGGGATGTGCTGGAAAGTGTATGTCCCACCACTGGGGAGGTACTTGCGCGGGTTCGTTCGGTAAGTGAATAGTAGGCTCACTGCATACTTTGTCCGGCGTGTAATATAATATCTCACAGGCGACACCGCATGAGCTGCACGAAGCACTGGGAAAGTCTAAGGAAGCTTATCTTCATCTCAGGACGGTTCCTGCTCCCAAGCGAGGCGAACTTTTACGACAGATCAGAGAAGCACTCTCTGCGAAGGTATAGAGCCCCTGTTTCCACGAAACTTGGCATAGTCTCATTGTTTTTAGCGTGACGTTCTTGGGGCATTGGTTTCCCTCGAAATGGGGAAAATTAAAACAGAAGGCATTGGGGAAGTCCAGGAATTCGTGGATATTGTGCGGATTCTTTTGCTTCTTCCGATGCTGATCTTGAAACCTTTGATCTCTTGAGTGCGATTACGCGGTGGGCTTATCTCGAATGATGAACGGCAGAGTTGTGGCATCTGAAAGACCTGGTCACACTATCCTGGAAGGTCGACTGCGCAATTAATTCGACTTATGACATGCTATGCTGATGCACTGTTTTGTCGCAGTACCTAACCCCATTGGTGTCGTCGGTGTGCTTACTGCGTTCAACTTTCCGGTGGCAGTATATGGGTGGTATGACTTCCTATGGCTAGCAGGAGACCTGACTAAGTAATTGAATGTAGGAATTTTTCGCTTTCAGTCGCCGCTGGGAATGCGAACGTCTGGAAACCTTCGCCGAGCACACCACTTTGTTCCATTGCCATAACAAAGATCATTGCGCGTGTGCTAGAGAAGAACGGCATTCCTGGCGCCGTATCTACTCTCATCACGGGCGGAAAGGACGTTGGAGAAGCTATCGTTGCAAGTCGAGATGTACCCCTTGGTAAGGCTTTGTTTTCAAGCGGCGCAGGGCGTTTCTTAAACAAAAATATTTTAGTTTCATTTACAGGTAGTGAGGCCGTAGGTAGGGTCGTTGGTAAGGCTGTTCAGTCTAGGTTCGGTCAGAGCATCTTAGAGTTGGGCGGGAACAACGGTACTTCTTTTACTCCGGAAGGCCACGAGGATTGCCTCTAATAACGTTACATCAGCGTCCATCATCATGCCAGATGCAGACATGTCGTTAGCTGTCCCAGCCGTCTTTTTTGGTGCTATCGGCACTGCTGGCCAACGATGCACATCTACCAGGCGACTTTATCTCCATCGTGCGATTGCACCGAAATTCCTCGACGCACTTGAGAAATTATACGCTACTATAAGCGTTGGAGACCCTCTAGTAGATGACACTTTGCTTGGGCCTTTGCATACACGTGCAGCTGTTGGAATTTACAGCGACGCTGTGGAGCGACTCCGCCAATCTGGTGCTGACATTCTTATTGGTGGAAGGAAATATGACCATGCGGCATTGAGCCAGGGTAATTTTGTCCAACCCACGATCGCAGTTCCAAAGACCGTGGATCCTGCCGATAAGATGTGGAGTACCGAAACGTTCGCACCTATCCTGAACGTCGGCTTGTTCGATGAGCTGGAGCAGGCCATTGAATGGAACAATGCTGTTCCCCAAGGACTGTCTAGCAGCCTCTGGACCAAAGATATTCGGAACGTTGGCAAGTGGATTGGCCCCGAAGGCTCAGACGCCGGCATTGTCAATGTATGTGCATTTGGCTTTGGGACATACAATCCTGATGTAACGAAACACTTCAGGTCAACGTTGGAACTAGCGGCGCCGAAATAGGTGCCGCATTTGGAGGCAATAAGGTCTGTCACAGCTTCTGTTCTGAATGATCGACCTTCGCAGCCTAATTGCGCCCATTCTCACCTATAGAGCACCGGATGGTCAGGACATCTCCAGCTAGATCTGCTTCTCTTCTGACTTCTTTATTTCAGGGGCCGCGAATCCGGCGGAGATGCCTGGAAGCAGTACGTTCGCTGGAGTGCATGCACGATCAACTTTTCCGATGCTGCACCTCTGGCGCAGGGAGTGAACTTCTCCACATGATCGAGATAGTAATTTGAAAACCGGCCGAGCCTTCAGTACTCGATTGGACGATGGGTTATCTCGCGGCTGTCGTGGCACCGCAATTGGGATTTAGGGTGATTGCAGGGGCCAGCCAAGTATGGATGGTATCCAATGGCACTCTTTCTGTAGTGGGCTTCATCGTTATTCTTGTAATCATAGCTGCCGTTTCTTCTCTCATCACAACCATACCTATATCTGGACACCGGCCAGCGTCGTGATGATATATAAACGTGAGAGCAGTCCGAATATCCGTCAACGAGGTGACCTGGCTTGAACGTTTGAACTTAAATCTACTTAGATGTGCCAGATGTCACCCCTGCTGACATGAGTATGTTGACATGTCACCCAGCAAACGCTGATTGGAATAACCGAGGCAGTGCGTATGGTGAAAGCCGCATCGCTACGTTGCATAGAAAGGACACCTGCAATTATAAGACTGCCGCATGATTATCTTGGACGAGTTTTTATCTCCACTCTTGCAACACCCCCCAACTTCGCCACTCCGTCGACGGAGTATCAATCATTCAGTAAACATGCAATCCGACGACCTCCCATGGCCAGAACTTGGCAACGTCTCCCGTGGCGCCACCAGGGGCAATCAAGGTCAAAAAGGTGCTTTGGGCCCCCCTGATGCCGAAGGTCGCTGTGTCCTCCAGCTACGAGTTCAACCCGGCGTGCTGGCTGTGAAGCTAAACCGACGTTCAAGCGATTGGTATCGAACTCTCGACAATGAAGTCAACCGCGCCCTAAAATTGACAAAAACGTACTGGAGAAAAGCAAGAAGACGTCAAGACTAGTTTGTCGATGATAATTTACAGACATGCTTTATTGTTAACATGGCGCTCTTGACGGCAGTGACGCTCGCGCAGATCAAGACCACATGGAATTGCATGAGTGGTTGCAACAGCTCAAGGATAAGACAATGTCACATCTAGAGGTCCTCATGCAGAAAGGCGACATTCAGGGCCCCCCATACATGATGCCTGACGACATTGAGCTCGCCTTTCTGAGGAAGTTTATTGAGCGACACAACACAGGCATCCCCCATAATCCCCGCTTGCGACATCTTGGTCCCAACGCTCCCCAGCTTCCACCCATCGACGATTCCATGGAGGTCTCAACACCTGAACTATCTGAAGGGAGTTATCCGCCCTCCAGTCTAGTAGATCATATCGCTCGATTGCAGCCAGGTCAGTCGCTGTGATCGCTCTCAAGTACTTTCACGCAGTCATATTGATTTCCCACATACAGAGAGTGGTTCAAATGTTTCAAGTCCAAATTATGTGCACTCACCAGGCACATCTCGCCCACATGTTATTCGAACATCCTCCTCGCCCTCAACAGCAACGTACGAGCAACTCTTACAAGACGCGCAGTCATCTGGTTTGTCCCATTAATCTGCTCTCCTCATGTTTCCAGGTTAAATTTCTTCACAAGGCCAATACCTTCAAGAAGCACGGACAACGCTCGCACGCGCACAGTCACAGACACAAGATGCGTTTCAACGATATACCGTTTGTCTGGAAGCAGAAGCCCGTGCTAGGCGGGATGTCAATGCCGCCGAACAGCATCGTGACGAACTCAGTAGGTATTTTGTGCTGCATTAGCATCACTATCCCACTTAACGAAGTGTCTGCCAGTGACGGCTCTTCTCTCTAGAACTCAGAGTTCAACAGGTAGGAGCTTATTCAGAGCATTTATTTTTGTGTATTATAATCTCACTTCCCCTTCAAGATTACTCGCGGCAGTCATCACTACCCCACGATGATACTTCTAGTCAACAAGACGTGCGTTTGGAACTCACATTGCCCGAGATACACCGCTCATTCCGTTGCAGCACTCATATTCGTCTCATCATCTTGTCGACCGGAGACCCTCAGCTGACATGGTACCATCACAAAATAGTCCCAGAGTTGACTGGCGTCAGCCAGATATGACAGGGTCATTCACTGGGACACTCGAAGCAATCCCACAATCGGAGGTAAGGATGTTTTTCTAGAACTCCCTTTCCACACTGAGTTTACCGGGCAGATGCGATCATCAAGAGATCCATCCTACAGGCCAGAGCGCAAGCACTCGCGGAATTGGGAGGAGGGTGGTCAGGTTGACGTACATAGTATGTGGCGAAGACCTTTTGGTTAGGAACCTGGTCCTGAGAAGACGACAGACCTTCAGGATTCAAATCTGCCGCCACGCAAGCGTTTGCATCACATAATAAATCCGTCTGGTCACAGCGCACCTTTGATATCTCAGGCCATAGCACTGCCTCTACGACTCTGAGATGGCAGGTCACCCATCGGCGTTCAGAATATCGCCGACAGTGCGACTTTCCATTTTTCAGGAAATTTTGTCACCTGCATCCTGATTTCGTGTACATTATAACCATCCCTTCCTAGTTGGGAGGATGGTCAGCATATTATTTTTCTCTCGGACATTCTATACCATCCCATTCTCACCATCGCTTTCTGGCCAATTGTGCCGTTAATTGTATTTGGAGTTCTGTATTACACCGCTATACTTATTATTGATTCGCTGTTCTAGATCACCACAGGATCTCGATTATTCTATTCGTTAACGCAATTGCGCATGTCAGAAGTGTTCTGACATAGCGACATGATGTGCCCATGTGATTTGGCCGACGGAACCAAACCACGCCAGAAAAGTTCAGGTGAGTCACATAAAGAATTCATAAGCATTCGTGTGGGCCATCTGTGAGCGTGCCCTGATCTGATCACGATTACTGTCTGAGTCGGAAGAACAGCATGCCGTGATGATACGTGGCGAGACTTCTTGTTTTGCTAGCATGCTGTTATGTTTGAAACAACTTATAAGTGCGCGGGCGGGCATAATGGCGACGCTATCCGACAATTCGAATACGGGTTTTTGAGTTGTTTCCAGTGTATGATTTGATTGACTAACATCACCCAATGAAAGGCACAAGATTTATAATATTGAAAGGACACCAAAGCACATTTTTCTAGCGGTGTACATACTTTGCGGAGTTAAGCGCCAAGTAAGCACCTCATTACGTACAAGTGAACTTTTGGCCAACCCGTTTGAATCTTCTTTGGTCGATTCAGACGTTAGCAACTGCGAAGCTTCAAGGCTTCAAACTTCCGGCCTCAGCTGTGGTGGGGACAACCACTAGAATGAACGGGCAAATGTACCCGCGTTGATTTCCACATGGCCATGCCAACACACAGTGGACCCGTCACAACTCATCTCGATGGCTAGTTTTACCTGGTACCACACTGAATCACTTTGACACTCGTTGGTCAAGCAGCAATTGTTACGGTTAGCTTCAGCTCAATAATTGTCTTTCCAACATCCACCACAATACCCTTGTTCGATATTGAAATGCACAGGTCGACGTTACCTGGATAATCCCATCACCAATTAAGCTTGCGTGCCTGCAGTTTAATTTTCAGTTTATCTACTTCTCGCTTTACTAGGCGACGTATCTGATCACAACCTTCTTCGTTGACACTTCTCTATGGCGCCTCACTCGAAGTACCGAAGTGACTTTATGCTCAATAGCACGTCTCGGAGACTTGCTTTTCAACCCAGCTAAAATTTGTTGCAACTTCGTGGTGGGACATGTGTATATGGCAACAAATGCACTTTCATGCACCCACTTCCTGTACTGTTTCTACTATCCAACATCCTGGCCCTTTTGCAAAGACAACTCGTGCTCGATTGGTCGGCACTGCAACTAAACACCGAAGAATCTTCCACGACACTAGTGTCCGATAGCTTGCCTCACAGTGGCTCCGCCAGCGTATGAAACGTTGTTTTCCCCGTCGCAGTTGCCATCTGCGCCCATCCCAGCCACAGGGGAAAATATGATTATCCGGTCCAAAAGTTGGAGGACACAGGCCTAGAAACACCTTGTCAGAATACAAGGCTAGTGTCCTGTTGGCGACACTTGCAACCTGTATATCCCTTCTTTCTGACGAGGGGGAGGTTCTGATTTTGGCCCTTTCGCAGTATCCATGATGCAGCACTGCCATTCCCGCGGAGTTCTGACCAGATACGAATTCAGCGGGATGGATCTCCTGGATCCGACCCTTGTGTCCGGAGCACCAATAATACCGCTATGGACACAAGCGCATTGTTTGGCATACGTTGAAGAGGAAGTGCATGGACCTGAGGTGTCAGCTTGTACACTCTAAAGACGCTTCACCATGTTCGTGTTTGACGCTCGAGTGACCTTCGAATTTCAATTTCGCAGATGTTGCTTATATGCCTTGCTTCCGCCGCTGGCCGAATTATGCTGATGGTATTGATTGCGCATTTCGACATCATGTTCCTATTCCTGTCTCTGTACCAACACTTGCGCCCTTGCCTTTGCCACTCCTTTCGGTATGTGTTAAGGTGCCAGTCATCCCAAATTATGACCCCCCGGTGTATAGTGAGGCATCCGCTTTGCCATGTGACTCAACAGAACAACCTATTTCACTCCGCAAACACCAGTTGTGCCATTGCCCACCAGCCCAGCCTTCTATCCTTGTATATGATCAAGGGGTATACCCCAATGGGCACTGGGCATCTACAATTCATCTGATCCTCAGCCTAACCAGCCGGAAGAGTATTTCTCAGTTCCTGTGCAGGACGATATCCTACCTGCAATTCTTGATCCCGTGACTATCGAGGATAAATTTACATTGACCTAGACAACATATCGGTCTTCTAAAAATCAGCGAGTGGGCTACGCCAAGCGTATCAGCGTTCAGAAGGTCGAAGCTGCATGCCTAACTGCGGTTGCGTGATGGTCTAGCTCGATTTACGTCCGCGGCTGATGATCGTGCACCTTTAGTCACGGACATGAGCTCGCATCTCACTTGACTACTCGGGACGTCATCTAATCGGAGCCTTGAATTTTAAAATTATCTACTCAAGTGACAGATTTGTCGTAAGTATATATCAACCAATGACCATACATTACCTGCAACTTACGAAGCCACCCACCTCTTCTCCCACATGTGTCTTGATATGCACCAAAAAATAGCAGCACCTTCTGAACGTTATGTACATATATGGCGTGGCCGCCTCTGAAATCTGTTTTTATTACCCATCAAACATAAGGACAGTCCTGTACAGTCATAGACTCTTAGTAAAGTCTGGGATTGAGTGGGCCGTCGGAACATAAGTACCTTGGCGAAGCCTATCTTCTCGTTTTCATCACTAAGCCAATCTCCAAACCACTATCTTCTCGTGAGTGTGGAACCATCCCCTGCGCTGTCAGTGCCAAGAGGTGCCAAGTCAACAATCCCAGTACTAGTGCTGGCACTATGTCGTTCCTGGCGATCATGTCGATTCACACGTGGGTAAATTAAAAGGGCACCGCCCTGATTGGACATTGTTCTTTGAAAAAGCTGTTTTCGTGTTTGAACTACAGTGGCTCGTGGCATTGCAAAGATTCAAGAAGCTCGGAACTCAGTCGGTGCCGAGTGCGACCACCGTGGTTGGCCGCAGTCGCGGGGATTCGGTGTCCATAATTTCAACTCTTTGAAGGTTTGGTGTTCCGCCGAGTCTCCAAAATTGAACGTTCATATCCAGCGCGTCGTCGCTCGATGTCGACGCTCCCTACAGGACCCCGGACAATTACTTACCTACGCCGGAATATTATGTAGAACCTATGATGCGGGTGCATAGATCGCGAGTCAAATTACATAACGGCTGTAGCTTCCACGACATCCGGACGGCTTGATATGAAATCGGTACAGATCGATGTTCTGAGTCGTAGGAAACAATTCGGGATCGACTTGTCATAATGGCATGATACCAGCTTGGCTTATAGTACTCTACCGCGGACTCGGATTGTGGAGTATGAACAATTGAATTTATCCGCTTTGCAATGAGCCACGTACTACGTGTGGAGACTCGAGAAATCATTGGCTTGCTGGACATAGTCTCCCCTACTCAGGGTCGTCCTGAGGTTCTCGATAAGCTTTGGAAATTCAACCATAGCAAGGTACCGCCAGCCAAATCGTCGATATGAACTACCAGCCCCTGATACTGAGTCAGGAACAACTGACTTCCTTCAAAACTTTTATTAGGGTTCGCCAATGAGAGACTACAGACTACCGGACAACCACATTACAGTACCGCCAGCTAGACTCGTAACCAGTCCTTCGAGAGAGAAGAATTTCGACGTAGTCACATTCAACTTGTCCGCGCTAGTTTAAGCGAGTCACTACCAAACATGGGGCCGCCAACTCAAATACGCCAGCCAACCAACCTTGCAAAACAAAACCAATGACGTTCACCAGATATACTGTACATAATACACTAGAGGTATAGCTAGATACAAGATCGAACGAAGTCCAATTGCAATGCAAGATGTTCAAAACGGATATAAGATGCGTGATAAATAAATAGATTCGATGTTTGAGGTATCACCAAGGTCTGGCTATCACCAGATATGGCTAGGTCAGGACGGGGTGAAAGATGAAGATAAAGAAAAAGGATTCTGGTGCCCTATATCACACAAAAATCTCAGCGCCTTCGATGCCGTCTGTGAAATCCAAAACAACGATCTTCTGGTCGTGCGAAGTGCTATAGGAAAGCGAGATCAGTAGGTCACATCAATCAAGCCCAATACCCCCAAAACACTAAAAAAAAACACTCGCCTAACAATCCTCCTCACATCAAACTTAACATCAAAAATATGACTCGCATGCAAATCCCTAAACTCCCTCACCAACCTCCCAACACCCCTCTTCTCGCTCATACCCGAATTTCTATACCCAACGACACCGTCTGCGACGCCTACTACGCTTGCTCCGTCTGTGTCGGATGCGTAAATCGAGGTTCTGGCGTGCGCCGAGTTGCTGGTATGTGTTGAGGTACTGGTGTGTGTCGAGTGAAATGACGACGACGAAGAGGTTGACGAAGAAGAGGTCGACGAGGAAGAAGAGTGCGAAGTAAAAGCAGTAATATTCACAGCAGGAGTAGCAGGCTCTCTCCATTCCCAAACCCTAACGCTCCGATCATAACTCGCACTAACCACATACCCAGTCTTCGGATCAAAACACAACGCGCGGACCAACAACGTATGGCCAGCAAAGGTGTGCAGACATTCTCCTGTGGATGCGCGCCAGAGTTTGATAGTGCAGTCATTTGAACCACTTAGGATTAGGTCATCCTAGTAGAGTTGTTCAGCAAATAATATAATTGATTGCCAATGACCGACCACCACCACACTTTGGGGGCAGGGAAAGAAACACGGAAACACGGAAAAAATAAGACGGAAGAAAAAAACACACACCTTAAACTCAATGCAAGCCAACCCTCTCTCATGCCCCTCAAACACCCGTTCACACCTCCCACTAGCAGCATCCCACAACATCATTCGACCATCCCCACTGGCACTCACTACCCTCCCGCCTTCGAGCCCGATGGCGTTCACGGGTCCTTCGTGGCCTTGTAGGACGGCGTGTAAAGTGAGCGTAGATCGGGAGTATACATTGATGAGTGCGTCTTTGGAGCTAAGTAGGGAGGGAGTTAGTGTTGGTTTGTGCGACGGCGAGAACACAAGATATGTGAAATCGGGAGGGTAAGATATGGTAGAAGGGGGAACACTTACCAGCTGACGATCCAATTCTCATCCATCCTCAAATCCAACACACCCCCAGAATGGCCACGCAAAATCGCATGTACGTCAGCCCGTATTCTCGAACCACGATGCTTTGTGTATAGGTCCCAGACACGTACTGTGCAATCCGAAGAACCGGATACCATCATACCGTGCGATTCCTCCTCATCCCCCTCGTTCGCATCCTCGTTGACACTACCTTCCTTTTCTTCACCATTAATACCAAGCCCGCGAGAACAAGACCGGCGCGAGTAAGGTCGCTTCGCATCAAAGTCTTTTTCAAACTTCAAACAAAGCACACTTCCCAAATGCGCTTCAAACGTCGCAAGACACTCGCCAGTGTGAATACACCACACTTTGATGGTTCTGTCTCTAGATCCTGTGATGATCCGTTGCGAGTCAAAGTCGAGGCAGTAGACGCTATGGGGGGTCGTCGGTTAGTCGTTGAATTTCATACACAAACTCAAACACAGAGGAGAGGAAACAAAACGCACCTGTCTCCGTGTCCCTCGATTCGCATCACCCGCGGTTCACCGCGTGGATCTCGCCACTGCCTTTCGAGTGTGGCACGAGAGCGGTAGAGGGTATGCCAGTTGAGCCGGAGAGGTCCTAAATTCGCGCCTCTTCTTAAGATTGGATCCGGATAAGAGATGCGAATTGATGGTCTGTTAGCATTGATCTCTTTATCCATAAAAACGCCCCTCGAGCGTCCGCCATACCACAACGCTTCAACTCGATCCCAATCTATAGCCCAGCCACTAGGCCCATCCCCTTCCGCATCTTCGGAGTCTTCAAGAAGCGGGAATCCGTGTACGCCTTCGTCTGCGTGGGCATAACGCAGTGATGAGATGTCATCACCAGAAGAGGAGGACAAGCTGGGCAGGGAATTTCTTGGGAATGAGTAAGAAGACATATAATTCACTAGCCCGTACGCAAAGTTGTGTGTGTAGGAATAGCCGTATGGGCTTTGGCGAGATACGCGGGGTTGGACTCTTGGACGGCCTTCTCTCCCTCTCCACACTCCTAGCCAGACGCTTGTGTCTTTGGCTAGTGTGTACAAAGAGCGAGAGACAAGCATACATGCTAGGACTGAACGCATCGGGAGGAGGGAAAGGATGTGTAGGGTGAGTTCTGGGGGAAGGGGAAGGGATGTTTGGGCGGGGGGGAGGTATCGCGTGGAAGTGAACGTGGAGGTGAACGTGGAGGTGAACGTGGAGGTGGAGGCTGAGGCGTATGATGTTGGGCAGAGGGTGTAGGCTTGGGAGGGAGTTTGAGGTCGAAAGAGACAGAGGTGAGATGAGGTTGGGGTGGTGGTAGGGGAGGGTGAGGGGGATTGTGTATATGACGATAGGGACGCTAGATGATAAATGTTAACTTGGTAAAAAAAAATTGAAGAATACATACTTGTAAGATCGCATTGGACTGCATCAAAATAACCTTCGTGGTCTACGAGTTCACCCTCCTCACCGTCAAGCGGGTCTAATGCACGGTAGTCTACGTCGACGTCCCCATTGATGTTACCCTGAACCCCGGACCCACAGTAAAAGACGTCTGATACTGAAGAACGCTTTGCCTTGCGCTTTGCGCGCAAGATATTAGGGGAGGACCTAGTAAAGTGCCTATGGATTGGCGATGGATGTTTGAGTGTAGGTGAGGACTTGCTGCCTCGAGGAGATGGAGAAGAAATGCTTTCCCAAATCTTCGTGATATTGGGACGTACGCGGCGTTTTGTACTGCCTCCCAAGGCTATACTGTGACTTCGTAAATGGGTAGAAGTGCGGGTTGGAGATGTCCGGAAGAAAGGAAGGGTGTTTCGTCCTTGTGGTGCTGAAAGGAATTGAGAGTGATATTGAACATAGGAAGGACTGCTTGGTGGTGAGATCATGCTAAAGTCTGCGGTTGGTGTTGGTGAAGGCGGACGAGAGTGTCCCAGTGTAGCTTGACTGAAATCTAATGAGAGATTGAAATTGATATTTAAGTGCAGATTCGAGTGCTCTTCTTCCTCTTCCTCATCGGAGGGTTGGAAAGAATTATTTGAGTAGACCGGCAAGTCTAGCGTGAGTTTGGATGGGCCTGCCATTTGCTGCTGCTCATCATCAGAGTGAGGCTCCGGAGATGGATAAGCTGTATAGTAAGGCGTCGAAGGCGAGCCTCCACGATAAAAATCAGAGACTATCCTCCTAGACTCCATTGCCTGTGGAAACCAAGGTTGCGTGTCGCCAACCTTATTTGTGTCCCTGTTAGCTAGACTGCAGGCTACTGCGGGCATGTGTCTGCCCTCTGGTTGCCCTCCAGAGTGTTCAACTGTCCCCACGTGACTTGCGCGCCATTAATCAGGGGCCCCACGTTTCAACTTAATGAACTCCGATTTCAATCCGACTTGACTTGCTGCTAGTATGTGTGTGGTATCAGCTCATTACTTTGTAGTCACTCTAAATTGCTGGTAAACGTGACACAAGCCTCGCAGGCAGCTAATGCTGCAAGGTTGGGTCAACAACACAAGGGGTTGGATACTCGGATCACCACTCAGACGATTACTCCAGCAGCCTCCCTTGGCGAGCCACTCTTTCGTTGATGGCACTGACTGTGACACTACTCACTTTTTCCGATAGCACAGGTGATTAGTCTATCATATTTTGGTCTGAGCGCTCAGCAACCACCCATTGGTTACACACGTGCAGCATGCCCTGAACCCTTACTTGACTTATATCCGGTCCCCATAACCATATTCACACCTCGTTCTTGTCGTATCACCGGTAGCTTGCAGGGCCAATATATTAGACTTGAATGTGGGTCACTCCATATCATATTCATCTCAGGATCTTCACACTCTATCAACAGTCTGAAGCCATTGTCGCCAAAATATTTGTGCATACCCGCCAGCATATATGTGTCCATCAAGCTCTGCGAGACGAGGTGCTGGAGATCAGCCATCGGAATCCTATTATCCGACAAATCTGTAGCGTGGGGGATACCGTGACCCTGTAAAGTCTGTAGTTTCACATGCGAGCCAAGAACTGACAATCAGTTTGTAGATCATTACATGCGTCACCTAAGTTATCATTCGAGATCAGGGCATTCTTAGAGCTCGATCGAATGCTAAGCAATGGAGAAGTCATCGGCAAATTCGATATGTCGTGGGATGGCTGCTTCAACATGGAGATGAGCATAAAGCATCTGGTGAGTAATCTCCATGCCGTTCATGCACATCGATTGGCTCATGGAAAATCTATCCCTCCCACTCATTGTCGATATTTGTCCTTCTCTCACGCTAAAGGTCGCTTTTGTGGACGCTTGCGAACACGACGATGGTACGCTGCTTAATATAAGTGACTCTAGTTCGTGTGTTTTCTGTTTCTACTGCCAGTGACAGCTCGCACACCGTAGCCCACCATTGAATGTGAGATTGTTCGAGATGCAAATGCAAGCCACGGCGATTTGCCGAATACACGACAAGCGGGGAGGTCTCTCATCTGAACGATGCCGTGGAGCATTTTCAGTTGGTTCTGTTCGGTTGCCCATCCTGACCGTGGAGCAGCTCTCACCAACCTTGCGTGGGCCCGCCTTGCAGGTTTTGCTCAAAAAGACCTTGAAGACAATGACTCTATAATATCCCTATTTCGCAACGCTCTTGCATTGCATCCGAAAGGCCACCCTAATCACCCATCATCGCTCTATCTTCTAACCGAGGCGCTGACCCGGTGCTGCTACTAACAATATACTAACATCAAGTTCCCCGTTGCACCACCAAGAGCTGCATTCCAGAAAGCGGAGCTAAGTTCCTGGTGGTGTTGTCAGCACGTAGCGTGGATCTGGGGAAAGCAGCGCAAGGGAAAGGAGGTGCAGAGAGAGAGAGAGAGAGAGAGAGAGATGGGTCCGAGTGCACGGGGGTGACAGTCACGGTGGCGAATATTGATTATGAGAGGAGTCAGACACAGGTGAGGAGGAAAGAGAACTGAACTGAGTGTGCGCATGCCACACGTCTTCCATACTTCTAGACTGGTGACCAGCCCATCTATGAGGGCAAGCCGTCGTCTCAGACTCAGACTTTCGCTCCCGTTCACCAATATATTGGCAAATCCAAACACAATAAAGGTCACACAGTGAGCTCACAAACTCTTGGAGCTCAGCCAAAGCTCAGCAAGCACTTATCTGATGCATAGCCTAAGCATAGGGCCCCGCGGTTGTCACAGACGAAGTTACTGCTTACATAACAGCAAGAGAGTCCAGACTGGAAAGCTGCGGTAGCTGAAATCCGTTATCTTCAAGGTTTCTCGCGATTCCTCCTTTCACCATCATACAACCACTTGCAAGTGGCAGCGTACTGTGGCCCAGTCATCATCCTCATTGCGAGTAAATACTCGTGCAACGCCTTCATTATCTCAGCATCAGGAAAGCATCTCTCACTCTCGCAGATGTCGAAACGCTCATGGGCGACCTTGCCAGGGAGATACGGCACGCATCTTTTATGGGTCCAAGCGAGTCCAGGACGTATCTGATATCACTCCTGCGGAAGACTTGGGACGAGGTCATGCCACCCGTTGCTAAAGTACTTCATCATGATCTCAAAGTGATGCCTCGCTCCCTAATCTGTCTGTGTCCTGCTGCAGCCCTTACGTCTATTCCTCTCTATGCAGCTCACCCCTTTCGAATGAAGGCCAATAACTTTGGACGGGAACTATGTCTAGAGGACATATATGTCTGCTCCTACACGTCAACACTTTCAGCCCTTATCAGAGCTCGACAGACGATGAAGACGCATGCAACCCCATCGTTCTCCGGGATTGGACAAAGCCAACCAGGCTCAGGGCAAGGCACGGTACTCGCGGCTGTTGACAGAGAGCTTGAGTTCCCAGAAACTTATCCTTCCTTGAGTCAAGTTCACCAATCTTTCTGGCGAAGAAGCTACACAGGCAGGTGTACTCGGTGCTTTGCGACGTAACACCTGGGTACATCTCGCTTGTCACAGCAAGCAGGATTGTGACCAACCTTACTATTCGCATTTTGCCATGAGAGACAAACCTCTCACGCTACTTGATATTATGGAGAATGATGCTCCGCAAGCGAAATTCGCATTCTTATCGGCGTGTCATACTGCTGTCGGTGATCAGGAAACACCCAAAGAAGCCATTTACCTCGCTGCTGGTCTGCAATTTTCGAGGTTCAAGAATGTCGTTGGCGCGCTGTGGGTAGTCGGCGACACTACTGCAAAACACGTCGTTGAAGCTTTCTATCAGAAATTGTTTAAGGATTCGGAGGAGGGTGACATGCCAGACAGTGTGAAGGTGGCCTTGGCACTCAACCACGCTACGTACTCTGAACAACAAGGTGCCACTCGAGCAGAGGATTGTTTTCGTTCATATCGATGTGTAACCCATGTCATATTGCTTTGTGGTACGGTTTTACTGGCCACTGGTGTTGGATCTTGACGCTTGATTTTATGTTGTGCCTGTGGACCTGATGCCGTTGCTATCTTGTTTGCCATTTCGTCTATGTGCTAGAATCGGTTTCAATCGGAATTGTTTCTCGAAGACGGTGCTGGAAATTGTATATAATTTTTGTCATAGTATCATCCTGGCGTAATCCATACATTCTTCTGCTTGCTACTGATCGACCTTCCGGTCAGCTTGAAGGATCGTGGGCGATGATCCCGCTGCCCCTTCGTCTCAAAACATCATTTTCCTCCCCATGCAAGGTGTGCTTGGTTAATTGCATGGGGCACGACAGCAGAGCATTTCCTTGCGGACAGAAACTTCCCTCGCAGCTGAGAGCAATACCTCAACAATATCTGCTCATATCTCGACAGATGGGCTTGACCTGCACAAATCTATCGACTCTAACACTTTCACAACTCCCATTCAGGATGCTGACCACGATTCCTATATCCTTACTACCAGGGTGTCTATCCACGTACGGTCCTTGATTTCCTCCTAAATTATTGTGTCGAGCCCGCCTGCTGAACTTCTTCACATGCGAAACCTAAGTACTTATATTGTGATTGCAAATACGTGCCTCGGTGAGTGTCAAGCCGTTTAACAGAAACGGTCAGATCTCCCGGGCCAATGGAGAACTCAGCGGTTGTTCAACCCATTAGTCTTGTAAGGGCCATATCCCCTGACACAAGTCGATGTATTCTGGAATATCATATGTCACACCTGAGATCTGAGATATAGCACACGCCTCACTTTCACCGACATCGTCACCCAACCAACCGTTTCTTTTCCTGCGTCCGAACCTTGTTCATCCTGCACACCTACTCAAAGACATGCATCCAGTACTCAGCATAGATCCCTGCATCGAGGCGCCAACTCAACATCGAATCCAATGCGACGATGGTGGTGAGGTTCTGGAAGATGTCGGAGAGAAAGGCTGCAACTGCTACGGTAGCGCGCACCTCGATCAGGAAACCTAGGGTTCGCAGGTTGTGTTTTCTGTCCCTTCGCAGTCTGATGGCACCTCTATAAACGCATCCGTGTTCGAAGCAATGCAAAGCTTGTGAAGATTGGGAAAACAGTCGAGTACCGCGATGAGGCCTATCTGAGTGATACCAGACTTGACACACCATTCAGCCGTGTCGTTGAGGAAGAAAGGATAGAGACGGGGCCATGCAGAAACCAGCGACCGGAGGTCGTCATCATCTAGGTGTATACTGTGATTGACACTGGTGTCTACTGCCTAGGCTTTCAAAGCAGGTAAGGGGCACGAAGTTACGCAAAGTGAGAGCGTGACATGTAGGAGGTGGTCCGGAAGTCGAAACGCCACCCGAAGACAACACGAAATCCATTCTGGGCGGGCGGAGGCTGGCGTAGCCCACACTAGTTGGATAGCCCATCATATTGACGGGAGGTGTCATATAAGGTCCTACATTAGCTGGTGATTGTGGATGCGCGAGTAGATGTAGTGGATGTACTAGTATGACTCGAGGACTTGGTGGGGTCATCAATCGCAGGCTCAGATCTTGCAAACGAGTACTCGAGAACCGCCCAATGAGAGTAGTAAGAAGTGAAGTGAAATGAGTGGCGGGTTGGTATCCACTAGCATATGCAGAGAAGCGGGTGATCCTCCAAGCCTTGGCCTGTTAATAGGAATTCGACATTCGCTGTGTGAATCTCGAAATCGCGGACACGTGAAAATGCCCCTGAAGGTAAAGACGAGTCCAGTCCGAGTTCCACGTTGTTGAGATTGAGTGAAAACTTGCGAAGAGCTGGCGCGGTGATGGGAGAAAGAAAGAACAAAGGCAGGTGACCGTAACATGATTTTCATTATCGCACAGGGAAATTAGACGTACTTATCCTACCCACAAAGACCCACCTCCACTAACGTGGGGGTCGAGGACCACCTCAACATCACCATCTAGAATAACCTGTGGAATTGTTCCTTGTTCGACCTGATCCAACTTGCTAAGATCAAAAGCATTTCCTAGAGCACTTCAACTTCGTCAAAGCTTTCATCTTCTTCGGTCCTCTTGAGAGCCCTCGACTGAGAACGGAGGGGTCCATGCGAAAGATGCTTCAGGACCCTGTACAGTCTCGACAGCGATGTCGAAATTAAAATTGTCATTGATCAACGCCAAAAACAGTGACACTGTGATACCGAAAGCGTGTGTTCCAGTACCGTAGACAGTTTTTATGTAGATCATGGGAACTCTAGTAAGCCAGTGTGCTTACACTCTGTGAGTCTTGGATACTCTACCAGATTCTGCCACGCGAGTTCTGCCATAGGCCAGGCACAACCAGACCGGTTGGCAAAACTCCCAAGTTCTGCCAACAACACCACCGGCGTGGCGCACCCCAGGGTCCCCACGGCTGTCCTGTCTTCCACAATAGAACGTAATTTCCAGAAAAGCTGTTTAGAATACGACATTCTTGCTACGGCAGTACCACACACGAGCATGCACTAGTCTCACAGTCAAAGGCTCTTCCAGCGCCAAAGCATTTCAAAGACTGTCCTCCTGCCGCCATTGCCGTGTACCATGGGTACGTTCAGAAGTCATCGCAGCCATAATTTTTCCTCATCATCCTCGCCACCACGGACAGGCTCCCTACGTGATGGGCCTTCAGAGATGGCTCGTTCCACTGCAAGTAGCATTCGTGCGCCCAACGCTGTAGAAGAGACGATCTCGCTTACCCAAATACCATCCGCCTCTGCCAATCAACCACGCATAAGTATTGCAGGCAACAAACCGCTCAATTGGCTGGCTAAATTCAGAAGAGCCGTAACTTCAATGGCGCGGCCGAAAAAACCGATAGCTAAAGCGCCCACTGTGTGGGGGAGCATTCGAGCGATTGTTTTTGTTTCATGTAAAATAGCTTTCTTGCAATCAATGGATTGCGTTAATCCTGTCTTCTAGGGCTAAATGTCTTATTGGTCTTTATCCCGATATCCGTATGTTATCTTTGTCTTAGCTTAGACCATCTAACGCATGGCATCCGAAAGTGGGCTATGAACTTTGCTCTACCCGATCAGCACACTCTTATATTTGTCTGTAAGTACGCGATTCGATCTTCAGTAATTTACCTTACAGATCGCTCCAGTTGCATTTCTGGCTATCATACCACTGGCCAAGGTAACATAGATTCATTTTTCGCTATTGTTCAGGTTTAGTGTGCTTGCAGCTTCTCGCATTCGCGACTGATGAACTGTCGCTACGAGTCGGTCAAACTCTAGCTGGTCTTCTCAACGCTACATTAGTTAGTAGTTCATGTATCAGTCCTTTATCCCGCTGAACTTCGATGGCTTACAGGGAAATGCGTCAGTAAATCCCTGCCCAGTTGATCACTTTCTCATATTGTTTCCTTTTTACGTACAGCGTCGAACTCATCGTATCAGTACGTCGTGCTATCCAGCAGCTTATATGATGACCAATTGACCGATTTTAGATCATCGCGCTCGCGAAGTGTCAGCTTACAATCGTTCAGTCGTCCTGTATGTGTCCGACGGTTTTCAGCCTCCCTTAACCCGACACGTTTATTTCCTATAGTGGTGGGCTCTATCCTGAGCGATATATGTTAGTGTTTAAGCTTACTGTGACGAAATCAATTAACGTGTACTGTAGTACTGGTACTGGGCATGTGTTTCTTTGCCGGTGGTCTCCGCTTCTCGGAACAGGGATTTGGTCAAAGTACGCAGTTGCTTGTTTCAAGTTAGACCCAACTGCTGATGCTCGCGTCTGTGATTAAGGTGCTGTGCAACTTAATTCATCATTACTCACCATCAGCGTGATTGCTGTTCTGTTACCTGGGGCCTTTCACATGGCTCTGCAGGGCCAGCCGGAATATAGCGAACTGTTGACTGATTACAACATATTGAAAACTAGCCATGGCGTGCGTGAATTACTATACGTGATGTGTTTGGTCTTACGTTCTTCATATAGATTGCAATTATTCTCCTTTTCAGTAGGTAAACAAAATGGTTTTTTGGCAGTTAACTAAACCCATTTGAATTACCCAGTCTACGCATCTTATCTGGTTTTCCAGTTATTATCGCACAAAACACTCTACGACGATGACAATGAAGATGTGCAACCAACCAAGGGTTACACTGGCAAGAATCTGTTCCAATTGTACAGGACAGGTAGGAATATTGAGGACGGTGAAACAATGTCTTCCCCGAGTTCGGCACAGGATGGAGAGGCAACCACAACGTTGCCCCACCCCGCAGATGCCAACCCTGACGTGGAATCTGGGACTCATTCCACAGCATTGGTAGAGACTGAGGCTCCTGAACAACCACTAATGAGCCTCACTGTGTGCCTTTTGCTTTTGGTTGTCGTAGCTGTGGTACGTGCTTGCTGTGATAGTTGCACGAAGTTCTCAAAACTCGCTTTAGTTGGTCGCTGTTACTGCAGAGTTCCTCGTTGACTCAATTGATGGCTTGGCTTCATCTGGGTCGATCAACAAGGAGTTTGTTGGTATTATTTTGCTCCCGATCGTCAGTAATGCACCGGAGCATGCCACCGCAGTTACGGTATCCGTCAAGGATAAACTAACTTTAAGCTTGAGCGTTACTGTGGGTGCGAGTATTGTGAGTTCACTCCTGCAGACATAACTAGATCTATGGCGAATCACCATTTTCAGCAAATTGCGCTCTTTGTGATTCCGTGCGTCGTGCTCTTGTCCAACTTCTACGTAGCATTCATTCAGATGGTTTCAGATTCGTCGTGACACTTGGCTGGATTATGAATAAGCCCTTGACACTTCTCTTTGACCCGCTGGAGTCCATCGTATTGTTCCTTTCCGGTGTGTTGATGCGTTGATGCGGGAGAACGTACTAATCGGAAGGAGAAAATAGTCCTCACTGTCAATTACATCGTGCAGAACGGCAAGTCAAATTGGTTAGAAGGGATGATCCTCATATGTAAGTTTCTATGGTATTTTTAGGTGCGCTTCACACTCAAGGCGCTCTCTAGGCTTGTACATGATTTTGATTGTAACGTTTTGGTATTATCCTGGTAAGTCCCTCGTCGATGTAACCGAAGACTGCCCCACATGTTGAATGCTGTTCTCGCTAGGTACTCAAGGGATCTTCCCAAGTTATTAGGCCAAACTCGGAGTATCTTTGATGAATGGAGGACTACCATGAGTTCAGTATGACTAGGCTTTCGACCTGAGCCACTTCCTTATCAGATCATATTCGGTACCACATACCTTCAACACACTAGTCACCTGTCCCTTCTGTCTAGTGCCAACTGTCACTATTGCCATGCTCCTTTCTTTCTGATTTCCATGGTTTGCACTAGGAACCTAGCCCCGTCCTTATTCTTAGGTGATTGCTGCTGCGCAGATCGTCTTGAGAGAGGAACAGAGGATTTCATTCCAGTTTGCTACTTACCTTTTAATCGGGGGTAAAACTTCGTTTTCGCAGATTTAATCTGAGGGAATTTCAATGACCATGACCGCGTACCGGCACGGACCTACGCAGACTCGACCAGCAATATTCGCTGACAATCTTTCCATGCAGTATCTGCGCATGTCGTTCTGCTCAGATTTTTATCAGTTACATTCTTGTTATGACCTCAGCTTGCAATTTAACTGCACCGTGTTGTCTGTTTTTTTATCTATCTTATTTCAGATAAAATCAAACCTATCTTCTATCTTCAGTGAGATGCAGTAGGTTATCATTGATCAAAACGTTCGGTTCTCCCATCTCCCGTAAGTTTAGACTGGCGAAATAAAATAGTAACAGTGAAAGGCATATCCACCAATCGCATGCAGAGTGTGCTAAAGCGTTCGTAAGTGTGCGTGACGTGCGCAAGTTATCTTCATATCGATAGGTCAGAATCTAGAAAATTCACTTAACCGCATATTGGAGCGACACCAAACGTTTTACAGGGGTGCTCACGCTAGCTACTTTTGTAAGTCGCGTGTCGTCATTATTACTTGGGGAGTCGAAGGAGAACCGAATTTCTTAGCAGCGAAGCGAGTTACACCGAATAGCTGTAAGCGTTCGTTTCATTTCAGCGATTTTTGCAGATCTAGAAGCAACACTTACAGCTATCTTCATAACGATAGACCAGAATGTAAAAAATTCACCTAGGCTGCTTATTGGAGCGACACCAAATGTTTAACGGAGGTGCTCATGCTAGCTACTTTTGTAAGTCGCGTGTCGTCATTATTACTTGGGGAGTCGAAGGAGAGCCGAATTTTGTTTAGCAGCGAAGCAAGTTATGCCGAATAGCCTGAGGCAAGTTACATTATAACATCCCCGTGTTTACGTTCGCACTTGAAGCAGAGACAAAGCGAAAGCCTCGCAAATTGCGTCAACTTTCAGCCTATAAAAGACCTGCATGCTATGACTTTGCACCACTCACTGCAACAAGCTCCATGATGTTCACTGCTCGCTTCACCGTCCTTGCACTGCTCGCCTTCCTCGCTGGCGCCAACGCGGGATGTGCAACGTGCCCGGAAACTTTGGAAGTTGACGGTAAGGTGGCCTACGAGTTAGTCAACAGCTACGTGAGGTCCGACGACGGGTACACAGATTGCACGTACGTCACAATCACACATCTTCGAGCAAAGTGACTAATGGGCCGGCAGTTATGTAGGTAAATCGGGCGACGAAGTGGCCTGCGAGTATGCGGTACGTACTTCTGGATGTTGTGTAGCTCATCGTTCTCGTTTGACGTGTTGGCGGATATCAGAACGTCGGCGTGTTGGAGGACGGGGATGCGCTGTGCCCGAAGGTGTCAAGGATGGATGGGTATGGGTGCTGAGCCAGATGTAGAGTGGAAGAGGGGACAAGATACCCAATGAGAGGAGTGATATTAGTCTGCAGACAGTTGAGCCTATACCGAGCAGATGACCATTGGGTATATGCCCAAGTTGAGATCTCATGGATGCATGCATTGCGAACTCCCTTCATCATACATACTTTGCCTTGACCAGCTTACAATTGAAGGATGGAGGTGAACAAGCTTGTGGTCATGGTGGACGTTCAACGATAGTGTTCGTGCTAGGATATACACCATCCAGCGCTTTGAAGGCCGAGATAAGCATTGTGAGGATTCTTCTGCTCTGCTCACCGGGCCACAATATCACAAGAATGCTAAAGGTATGGTAAGGGTAGTGTAACTCTGATTAAAACAGATGGACAACGCACTATAGTACATTTATCATTGATTCATCATGGATTTGATGCATCTGCGTTTGGACACACTTAGATACTAGGATGTCAATGGGTAGTCGGTATCTACATAGCTTGTAATGTGTGTGCAATAGCAGGGTTAGTATCTCGCATGAGCCAGCTTCAAGAATTCCTAACGATCCCTCCCGCACATGATCCGCAAACAGAGCCGTCTCATCCAAAGCCCCCTACTCACTTCCTCGCATGCTAGGTAGATACGACTGGGTAGTGGGAGGCCGCGAGCGTTTGATCGGCTGATGGTGCGGTGGAATTGGTTGGTGCTACGATGTGAGATTGGTTCGACGTGAGATTAATTCCAATGGTCTTGATGTTACGATTAGATTGTGTATGTGCAAGGGCGACATGCCTGCTCGTATTAGATACTATTTGCACCAATAGTGTATTGTTATGGTTTCAGGGTATATAGAGCTGCAGGCGCAACTTTGAAAGGATTTGAAAAGACAACAAAAATGCAACTCACCTACATTGGTACCACGCTATTCGACTGCGGTCTAACCGCAAAACACCCTCTCACCCGTCAGATATCCTAGAGTTTATGCGTTCTGCAGAGTCTGAGAGTCTAGATCGTCCGGTAAGTACTGATATACTTGTCAAGTTTGACGGTGAACTAAGGACTTTGAACTGGCGCCTGCACGTGACTTACGACGCTACACTAAGGTCCTTTGATGTTGGATCATCTTGATTAATTGATTCCTCGTTGCATTTGTTGTAGAAGTTGTTTTATGATGCCCAAATTATGAATAACCGAATACTGTGTCAAGACCCACCTGGCCCTGGGCACCTTGTCAGCAGGTACACATGCAATATACTTTCGATGTTTCATGCGCATGAATCTGTTTCTCTCATTGAAAGTCGTATCGCTGTAAGCACGCCGGCTTACCTGAGTTCCCATAATCGGTGCATATACTGTCGCTGATGCTGAAAGCTAAGCTTTCAGTATTTCACCTTTTGGTGTAACGGTTATGCGGGCGGCAGTCTGACCATGTTACAATCGCCGAGCCAGCCCTGGCACTCGTGATATCATTTAAACGTTGTTAATGTTTTAACAGGGCCTTTAAAGCTATGTTTTCCCCACCAAAACCAGTTGATCGTGATTATGACCAAAAGACCGCCCACAGCAACAATTGCGTAGTTCATGTTGAGGACGTTCGCTGGGTATGCCGTAGGTAGGACGAATAAAATGCAGACGAAAACGCAGAACTACAGAAATAATCAATGGCCATGTGTAATCAATGAAGGGTTTATGCACCGAAAAACCTGCAACGTTCACTGGCCATGACCATTTTCCGAGGCAAAAAGGTCCAAAGTCTTCAATGCTAAATCCAACACATAAGTTAAACGAAGCTCGGATACATGATTTTCAACAACGAACGAGTCAGGCCAGAACACGCGAATGATGATGGGTTGCAAGTAGCTCAACATCACTGATATGGCTGCTGAGGATAGCATGGCGTCAAACTGTGAATACGGAAATGCTATCAGAACAAAGCATCTGAAGAAACTGGTTCGACTGACTGCAACCGCAGACCCGATGTAGGCACACGATATAATGCATCCTATCAAGACGCTGGTCCATACACCCCAGTATGGTGCTTGGAATCGGTTCAAAGTCATAAATTGTTTTTTCAACGGGAACGCATTATCTCTTGCAAGCGCATAGAACAGCCTCGAGCTTGCAGTAAAATTTGTAATTGCAGCCATCACTTGGGAAAGCATCACCACAACCAGACATAGTTGCGCCAACTGGGGCCCGACAGCATCATAGAAGAGTTGAGAAATTGGGATGGCGTATGTGGTGGCCTGAACGGATGCGATGTTCTGGACTGCGAATAGAAGTGAAAGCATGTACGCGAGACCAATTAACCAAGAGCCTGCAATGCTGCCTGCCACAGCGAGTGGGGCCAGTATTTCTGCGCGTACAGCTTCTTCTGCTACTTGAGCTGCTGTTTCACATCCCTCGAGCGTGTATACAGCCTACGGCACGGTAGCGCGATGAGTCACATTTTCCGTCATGCATACATAATCAAACCTGACCTGAAGAAACCCGAGGAGCACGACAAAGCCTCTCGATTCCCAACCGGTGAAGCTAGTCTGCCAGTCACTAACTTCGTCCTTTGCATAGTAAGCAAAAGCTCACTTTTGAAAATTCGTGAACACGAAGTCAGGAGAATTCTATCATCAGGATCAGGTTTCGCCTGTAGAAAGTTCGCCATGCATATTGTGAGAACTTTACCTTAACGGGCGCTTTCACCAAGCAGGGTGATGGTCAGTACAAGCGTCCCGCCCAGTGTCCACCAGACATTAAACATGCTCATTTGTCCTATAGCCTTCGTGCCGATGGTGTTGACAATGCCAGAGAATATGTTCATGGCCCATGCGATCGCAGTGATTTCTACTCTCGTCAAAGTCCTTCCTTGTCCAACCTCTGCCATTGATGCAAGATATAGAGCAACGCTAGATGACAATTCGCAGGCCATGGATCATATGATGCGAATGAAACTTACGTCAAATTTCCGGCAATGCCAGTAAACACCATAGCCATGGAATAAAGCCACCCAGTAAAGACTGATTCATGAGCCACCGCGTAGAGAATAGACGTTGAAACTTACAGCCGAGGATAGGTATGTCTGGTTTCATTTTGCAAACCCAAAAGTAGAGTCCTCCCATTGTCGGGCTATGCGACAACTCAAGCCGCGGCTCTAGCAGGGTATAACGATTTACTTACTATGTACTGCAAATTTCTGCGAGACTTAAGGCGATCAGAAACATAAAGAAACTGCATATCTGCACAGAATAGCAGCTTGCATCGTTTTCAGGCAGACTGAAGCGCAAACAAAACTCACATTCCATCCCCAGAACAGGCCAACCGGGCCTCCAGAAAACAACCCTGTCTGAAACGCACTGCTCATTCCAGTCAGAATGCCGATGGCGCAGAACGATATCCCAAGCACTTTGAAGAGAGACATCTCGCGGCGGAATTCAGACTTGTACCCCAGGTCTTGAAGGCGTTGATCAGACACGGCAACGTCGCGTGCTTCTTCCTTGTCCTCTCCCACACTGGAATCTCGACGTTCTAACTTGGCCATGGTGAACGTGACACACTGATTGTTGTGAGTAGACGAGGGGACCAGCGTTATATGGTGACTGGTAGAAAAATGACAGCAGGAGATAAGATATAACAAACAACTCACTCACCTTCAGATAAGGGGTGTTTACTTTGGACAGTACATATCACATTATATAGCTCTGAATGAGCACGCGCGAGAGTGCTTAAAACGTACCTTGAAGTTGACAAGCAACCGGTCGCCGAAATACCGACTGGGACGCTCTGTCAAGTGTATGTATTGGTGTGAATGAGGGTTATCTTGTTATCTCTGCAGAAGTAGAGACCATGAGTTTGTAGAGCTTCAGATGCGTCACTTGACTTCTTATCGTAAATTGTTAGAATAATATTAATCACGTTTAGTAAGGATTTTCACTAACCTTGAGAGAAGGCACCATTACATGTACTAATCAGCGTAAAGTCGCGTATCGTGTAAGTAATTGTATGTTCGTCTGGCTGCGCAGACGCTCGTCGTGACTAGCCAGCAATCGAGATAGGCACTCTAGGGACACACTTGCGACAAACCTCTGAGTATGTGTTTTAATTCCCTGATGAAGCAAGTATGCAAGACATCACTAATAAACTTCAGCCTTGAAGCCAGACGGACGTCGTTTATCCTGCGATACTATGGGCAAGTTCGATAGGGTGAGTTAGCTAATCAGGTGGACGACACTGGGCGTAAGAGTTCGTTCGAACGTCCATTATGATCAGGATTCAGAACGACTTTCCATCCATCATGAACATAATGAGGTTCGAACATTGACAACACCTGCTGCTTGGGCCGAGTACTCCCTGATGTGTTTGTAGGTAGTGATGGCGTGACAGCCTGCGACGCTTTGTAGTCTTCCCTAGCCAGGTCAATTGAAGGAAGGATTTTATTAGTTACAAGTACATGCCAAGCCTCTGAGAGTCTGAGTTTGTCCAGTCTCGATCAACAGAAAGAAAAACACTGACGCGGACGGACTGACTTGAACGTGAGCCTATGCATTAATTCGCACGGTCATGCTTCCAGCGGACGTCCGTGCGCACCGCGCACCGCAATTCGTGTTCGGTGGTATACTCTATGTACAACATATACTACCGCACTCTATGTATTTCCCAAATCCCTAGCAAAGCGAAATAACCCTACAGTGTTAATGTAAATACAAGGAAGATAACGCAAAAGCTCAAAAGCAAACATCTATACGACAAACTATCTAATCGCGACAAACTAATAATTACCATGAGTCATATCATAATGAAGGTCCGTATCCCCTTGCACAACAAAGATAAAGTCGTGAAAAAAACCATAGCAGTAGTTCTAAAGAGACCAATGAAAACTCAAAGAAAGTGATGTTAAAGAATCCGAACCACCTTACACTCGCACCTCAGGTGCAGAGGGTAAAGGGACCGTGTCTCTGAACGGCCACCAATCCTGAGGAAGAATCTCCTCCAGTTGACTGGTGAGCGCAACGGGAAGACGACTGCGCGTGCCTTCAAGTAATGCCCGCTTCGATGGGTACTCATGCGGCGACACCCATCCGTACAACCGCATGCCAAATGTCGTACGCACGTCGTCCAAGAAGTCATGCCAATCTACATACCGATCTCGTTGACGCTTCAGCTCTTGCACTTCCTCCCGCGTGAAGCGCAGCGGACAGGGCTCGTTACTACGAGAGAGTTCTGTCCACCGGCTGAAGATGTCAAGCAGCGCGAGGCGCAGCGGAAGAATGCCGTCTTTCCATGTCCGGCCTGCTGCGCGGACAGGCATTGTTCGCGCCTCGCGATCGCTAATGCGATAAGGGTATAGCTGTTTAATTTCATAGAGTTTATGAAGCATCTGCGCCTTGTGATCCTCGCGCATCATAGCCTTGGTGTCTTGGCTCATGACGGCGTACTCGGGAGGAAGTTTAGGGAAATCGAGGCCTGAAGGAAGTCCGGCACCATCGCAAGCTAGGAAGGATGGACTCGTCATCTGAAGATATGCAGGACCAGCCCAACAGCCTTGCCAGTCAATGATGCTAACCACACGACGCTCCTCATCGTCAGACACGAAGATATTGCCGGGGTTAAGGTCAGAATGCCACAGGTTAGATGCAAGGACCTTTCGTGTGGATGGCACGAGGGCGGGGATGATTGAGCGATACTGTTCCAAGCACTGAAGATGCTCTTCCTTGAGCTGAGGACCAGAGACATTACGGAAAGGATCATCATGAATGTTGGGCTTGGCAAAACGTGAGATCCATGCCTCCTCGCGCAAGGCGAGGGAGCGAAGGTAATCCTCCGGGGATGACCCTTGACAAGCATTAGCAACATGCTATAATTACAGTGTCAGAGATACGCACACGGTCCTCTGTCGAGATCCATAGTCGCACGTTCATCTTCATAGAAATTGCGATGGGCTATAGGACCTATGCAAAACTTTTCCTCCGAACCGAACCTACGTGATCCGTGAGCATACAAGCGCGGAGCCCGTTTCGACTCGGGAATATCATCCCTGTAGTATAGGCTACCATACTGCGCAAACTTTGCGTTCAGCATGTTCTGCTCGAGTGCTACAATCGAATTGACGACGTTCTTCTTCTGACGTGAGTCCATGGTGCGCCAGACGGTGCTAAGCTGGACGCCCGGAGCGGATTCCATGATGATGTATTCTGCTCCGACACCATTATTGGCAGCGTGGGAACTCCAGGCTAGAATCTTAGGCACAGGAATTCCCAGATTGTGGCGGACGAAATCCATTGTTGCAACCTCACTGGAAGTCATGAGGTGGTCTGGACCCGCAATTGGGTTCTATGAATGAAAATCAGCACGAGTAGCACCTGTATGCATGTGATATGACTTGCCTTGATACGGGCAGCGACCTTTTTACCATTTGCGAGAGTCACCATTAAGGTCTTGTTAAACAGACCTTCCTTTTTCTCCATGGACACTACAGGGGAACCGCAGACAGAGGCAATAACACAATGCAGAGCAGCGACAGTCAAACTTGATGTAACGCTGAGCCATCTGCTGAGATTCATTGTACAACCACCTGCCGGAGGTATATCGGAAGAGATTCTCATTATATTCGGTTCCCAAGGAGGTGACAACTGAAGGTTTTTGAGTAAAAAGGAACGGCCAAAATGCCTCATTGCTTACCAGGAGGGTGTGGAAGAAGTGGTTGGGGTGGACCCGGGGGTGGTAGAGAGAGATAGGAAGGAGGGGTTATGGAGACTGCGGTAGCCAATTTTCGAGAGACATTTGTGGGCTTGAGAGCGGTCCTGACGATGCGGATAGAGGCAGGGCTTCCCAGTACTTTCATAGCAAGATCATGCGATCTTCTGAAAAATTATGGGTGACGGAAAGTCAAGACAAGATAAAATAAAGGTGAGCAGGTTGATTATAAAGGGAGAGAACGAGAAAAGATATTTAAACAGTTTGTTTGGGAATCCGTAATAAATATGCGGGGAAAGTGACACGATCGAGATCTTGTCTCACGGCGTCTCCCAAACACCTAGCCTGGCCCCGAGGTCCGCAGTCGTGATGCTCATAGCATTATCATAACGCTAGTTAATATGGCAGTTCACCTTGCGGCCAATATTTTCAGTTTCATTCTATCCGATGCTCTAGATCAGTCGGTTTCAATTACTCGTATCTAGTAGCGGCGACTAGTAAGTCCTAGATATTTGCCCAGACTTTGAAGATCATGTACCTGACTCAGAGCGCAGTCACAGAGCTTCGCGAAGGTTTCGAATTAACCTTGACTGCTATAATGGCGCTAATCTCTTCAACCTAACTTTTACGTTGCTGTTTGAAGCCCGGAAATTTGGATCCTATTTCAAAAACATCGTCAGATGATTCAGATCATTGCGGAAATGCCCGCTGGCCTCAACCTTGCCTCGACCTCTGCTTCCACGGGGCACTTTATTATGAATCAGACCATTCTTTTTCTCACATCATGACCGGTCCCAGCCTTATCTCGAGACCCGCGAATTACAAACGTTGCTCATCGAATACATAATTGGTACGTCGGCGCAAATAGTCGTAAGAGAACTTCCCTTGATGCCGTCTGAACCCTAGGATTTGTCTCTTCACGTACATCAGGAAGCCGCACAGATGACATGAGATCACGCACGTTTCGACTATTACTACTCTATGACAACTTGATTGCTCAGCTGCTGCGCGGCGTACTAAGATTCCGAATGTTGGTTTCAACTTGAAGTTGTTTCAAGTTGTCGAATTCAAATTGTTACTCACAATGTTTTCTTATCAGTTCCTATAGGCTATCGCCCATCCTCAAGCCTCAATCACAGCAGGCACTTATGATAAGGCTTCTCAGCTGATTCGGCGGGTATGTGCGACTCCCACGAAGCGTGGAGGGTTCTGATCCAAGTCGGATGGCAATCCTTTCTCATCTCTACGACTTATCACGATCATAGTCTGTTTTTTTTTTGGTTGTGCGATATCATTCGTTCGCGTGTGATGTACGTTATCTGCATTGATATCGTTCTCCTCGTGCGTTGACGTCTGGTCTCCGATGTCGGAACTAACCAATTCTCATGATTATGCGTGGACTGTCCCTCTCTACTACATTTCAAGCCTGGCCGGCCTCTCGCGCCCTTCATATCAAGACAAATAGAATAACCCTGCAGTCTTGGTGTATATGTCTTGCGCGTGCGTTTTCAAGAGGAAATTTCTATCACTTGTGTTACCTCAAATTACGTTAGATCAACAGGCTGCGATCAGCCTCCGCGATTACTCGCTGGTGAAATTTCTGGGTGATCTACATCTTGTGCCTGTGCCAGATGCATCAGCGGCCTACATGCATTCGCTTTCCTCAAGTGCTCAAACTCACAATCGATGGTCCATCCCTCCCATGTATGTCATGATCTTGATGCTGTTCCCGACATTTCAGAACACCGTCAGAAGCTGGCAGTCCGGGACGGTGTATCGATACTTTAAACCTTGATATCAACTTCGATTCGTCAGGGCCGTGGAAGTATGGCTTCAGAGAAACGATGCCAGAAGGAGACTGGAGAGACGGATGAGACCCGTTTCGACTGGGTGCCCTTCTGGGTCAGTATCCCTTAGCCAGGCCATCTAGAAAGGAAACAGTCTTTCCGGCTTGATTATTGCTGAGCCACTACTGGCATTTCCAATTTCCCGAACTCGTCACCGATTCCTTACCAACGATACTAGTATCTCAAGCATAGCGCAGAGGCCGGGACCGGCGCGATCAATGCCAGTATCTCAGTCATTCTGATCACGATTCAGGGACCGGCGCGAATTGCGCGATCAATGCTAGTCCACTACCTCCGAGGCGGATTTCCCCACAACGTTTATTGATTTGTCGGCCGTCGCTGACCGGTCCACCTCCGTTTGGTGACGTCCGAGGAACTTCGGGTCGAGATCTCATCGCGAGAGTTTATGACGGTATATGCCGATAACTTCGTAACAAATACTTCTTGGCCCTTGTCAGCCTGTAGTCATTTGCGGTGATTCTTGGTAATATCCCCACCTAGCCCCAATTCTACTTACTAGTACTGTTTTATTCCGACTCACATGTCCAACTCCATTCGTGATGGCATAATCAACCAGCTGCCTGTTACATATCCTCACGCAAGTCACTGGGCTGATGCGGATCACGAAACTACCCGGCGACGAAGCTACTTACCAGATCCCCCTAATCAACCCATTGTAACAGGGTTGTAAGTATCGACCCTGGCTTCCTGCACGGCATCATCAAGCCCGGATCAACACGGCTCTCCAACCTTCCGCACCTAAATCCTTCTTTGATTGTAACAAACGTCGCGGTAACCCGAACTCAATCGCATATGACATACCGTAAGTTACAGAAGAACTTCTGGATATCAGACGCGAACGAAGACGCGGGGAGTGAGCTATAAGATAATATTTTATCCCAGTCTCAGACCCTCGGTGAAAGGACTGAGATGTTCGTACGACCGTGGGCACGCTCTTTTGAGATATGGGTAGAATAGGAATAACGAACGTATTCTTTTGAGGGGCTCTGGCCAACGGCGACTCATTGTGCTCGTATATGGTCCGACGTCAACGAGCTCGCTCCTGGCGCCTTGGCTGCTACTGACTCCAACAAAACTGTCACCTGTTTGATGGAATACACAAGACAGAAGTTCTATGGCACGACATCTTTGAATCTCTTCTCACACCAGGGTTTTTTTTAATACCAGCTTTTTGTCCATTAATTAAGGATGATACCCTATGTAGAATAGTACTTTCTAATCTATGAGACCCGAGTTGGTGTCCCTTCTGATCCCTGGAGTCGTGATATCCCAGGCGTTACAGCTAGTACTCGTTATGGCTGTAGTTCGTGACAGCGCCAACACCTGCTGGGGAGTACAAGGGAGTACAGCGTTGATTGAACCATCGTTATGATTAATTTAAGAAGGGCCGAAACTTCCCCATAAAACAATGTGGGGCTTTGTGCCGCGCACTAAATCTGGATCGGTCAGTCATTAATCGTTGGTTGCCGCACCTCAGAGTCACGAAATGGTGATACGTCAGCGAACGTACTTCAAAGTTCATAAAACTTTGTCGTTGTCAAGCAATGTGTTCATACTTGACCAAACCTTGGACCTTAGCTGCGATGACGCACACCCCGTACCTTTAGACCTGAAGTAAGACAAAAAGCAGTTTCTTTCTATTTGAAGGCAATGCCGCAATCAAGCTCCGGAACTCACATGACCATGCGCTTTACGCCATCCTTCTTTAGCCTGCCACATGTCAATGAAACGTCAAGTTGACTTTGGGCTGGTCTACTATAGGATAGGCGCTGCCAGTGCCGCACTAGGCCGCACTGCACCCAAGAAAAATTTACCGTAGACTGCTTCCGGGTCAAAATTCCACTCACGGTAAGACTGTTCATTTGCAAATATTTACTTGCGCCATGGGGAGTCTGATTTTCCGAGCATCATCCCCACTGAGTCTACGTTCCCTGTCGCAAAAAATTTCGGTTCCCTGGAACCGAGTCCACCGTCCCCTGTTACTCGTTAATATTTGGTTGCCTAAAATTGCATTACTTCGAGGTATGAGCAATCACCGTTCAAACTGCGTGTACAGTGACCCCCGTCACCTCACCATCCCATACTTGTCCGAGGGGGAACACACGTTAGCGTCCATAGCGACTTGCTGATCCCCGAGTAGTCACGGTAGCGGTACCTTGAGGAGATACCTTGTATTCAGTAGTTGTGTGTTGAATTATATCTGTACTGGGCTCTAACTCACAAGTGCGACGCTGGTCGACAAGTCGAATAAATGGTCGCGAGGTACCACCGACCAAACCACGGAGTTGTCGACAATCAGGTTAGTCCGAGACGTGGGATTCGTTGAAGTAGTCTGGATGCAATGTCAAGCGGGTTGAATTGAAGGCGGCGAAAAACATCGTGGGGTCAGGGTTATATCGGGTTAGAGGTATGCCAACTGTAAACAGGCTATCAGCGCTAATAATTGCCACATCTACTAGGTAGGAAATAAATACCAAGTGTTGGAAGTTCCTTGTAAGTAGAAATAAATTTTCAGGAGAAAACATGAGATCCGCTGTCGTGAAACATGCACTATTTAGCATGTCTCTCCCACTCGGGACCAACTGAGCACTTCTAGTGCCGTATTGCATGGATTTGGAGCTGTGGAGTAGTCACTCGTGATCAATACATTGCCCGGCACCAGGCGGGGCAATGTCTATTAATACTGGGAATATGATTGCATGTGTGATGTGATCATAAAAGTATGTTGATAAAATCGACGATCCTTCATATATCATAGGCGGCAGCATCGAAGCATTCGCATGGTTCATGTCGAAGGAGTGAAGGCCAGAGCGTGATGGTGAAAGAGACGGCGAAAGTTGGATATCCGGGCTCCTCGGGGTCTTGCATAGGCAATATCAATGGTCGTAACCTTGAAGTGACGGAACTGAGAATTTTCGAATGTCAGACTCACCCCCACCATCTCAGTTCCAATCAAAGTCAAAATGGGAAATTCCGTCGGGTCAAACAAGCATATCTCACGACCCTGCCGTCATTCTCTCGAGCGCCGACAACGAGCGCAACGTCTTGGAAAAGAAAATTAGCCACAATCAGCCTATCAGCGTTCAGCGCTTCAGCGATCACGGCGTGATTTGAGCGAAGTGATGTGGATATATATGTGTACCATGCCAAAACGGCCAGACTCCCGGACAGCAGCATATAGTTCTCGACTTTTAGATCGGCATTCTGCTACAGTCACGGTGCTACCTAAATACTTATGTCTTATCGCCCTGACGAATCCAACACACAGATCTATGCTGAGGGCGCATGGCTGCAGGGTGCCATCGTCACTGGCGTCCTTTACGGCGTGGTCATCGTCCTGTCTGCCATGTGTTGGCGCTCCCTCTGGTCTCGCGCTCGATCACATGGTACTGGCTACAAGATGAACAGATTCCTCTTGTGCTATGTCGCGTTCCTCTTTGCGATTGGTACGATATATGTAGCGTTCAACTCCCAGATAACGCAATTGGGCTTTATTGACAATCGTTTATATCCCGGAGGTATGTGCAACTTCTGAAATAGACTGCATCCCGTACTTATGTTTTGTTCAGGTCCTAGTGCATACGAGGAGGCGACCTCGTCAGCTCCACTAAACACAGCTTTCGTGGTTTCGGATTGGTGTGCGGACCTATTGATGGTAAGCGTACAGCTGTATCTCCCATCCCCACCATTGACCACACACTATAGATCTGGCGGTGTACAGTAGTATACAAAGATACTAGAATGTACTACGTCGTCGTTGGACTTGGATCTCTTCTGTTCCTTGGAACTCTCAGTATGTGCCAGACCTACATGTGTCTTCGCATTCCATCCTGACCCTTCACAAGTCACAGGAACGCTCTGGCTTGTCATTGTCTCAACACCAGTACAATCTGTAAGCGGTTGGATGTCCTTCTCCTTGCTCTTCCCATACCTCTGCTTCTCCCTCGCCATCAATATCTTCATCAGTCTCCTCACTGTCATGCGCCTTCTATACCACCGCCACCGAATATCCAAGGTCCTTGGTTTAGGCCACGGCGCGATGTACGCCAGTTTCGCAGCCATCATTATCGAATCTGCCGCCATTTACTCGATATGTTCGCTCCTTTACCTCGTACCGTATGCCCTCAACAGCCCGATCTCATATGCATTCATGCAATTACTAGGTGAGGCGCAGGTAAGTGTCCCCATACTGCTCGGAACGAATTGTGATTTACATTTGTACTCTAGGTCATTGCCCCACTCCTTATTCTCTACCGCATCGCAGTAGGCAAGGCCTGGATGGCTCGCTCCAACACCCTCATGGACGAAAACTCCATCCCGTTGCAGCGGCAGTCGGACTTACCAAAGCCCCCAGCCGCTCCACTGAATGTTGAGATTTCCTTTCACCAGGAAATCACCCGCGACGAATCAATACACTCTCCCAAGTTATCATACCCGATGGAATCTACCGAAGTCTTTGGTAGAGCGATATGAGACTCGTGGGGGTGATTCAGATTTTATGTGCAGCTACGTTATGTGGCAATGATTTCGTTGCAATGCCTTCACGAGATCTATGTAGTTACCTTGGAGTTGACAAAAACGGTTAGCATGCTGTATATACCCATTTTCATCCACAGGGCATCTTCGACACAATAGAAGAATTTCACATACCAAGAAATGGCTGCCAACGTAAGGAGAACCAGCCTTCGCCCTTAGGATATGAAAATCAATTCTAAGGGTCACGACAGATATAGCAAAGTACATAAACGCAAAGACTTCCGTATTCCGTATTCCCCTCTTATGCACGCAAATATATGATCAGACATTAAGGTACAACCCGGCATCCTTCCTGTGCTTCGTCATGGCTAACATGATACGAGCATAAGCTCGCCGAAAAACTGACGACGATAGATCACGACACTGACCTGCAATAATCGCACTGCCTACACCGCTACCATCCTCGGCGTGATGCGTGACGATGTTGCTGTAATTCCACGGCGCTCAGATCAGGAGGGAAAGGGCATGTCAAACAAGAACTGCTCACCGTCCCTTATCGCCGAAAATGTCCTGCAAACCTTCGTGCACACGATCGGCAAACCCAGGGTATTTCTGTAGAGGCGTAAACATCCTGCGGCAAGTACAGAAAATAGGGCTTTTACGTTGTACAAGGAGCCATCGGCCCCGACCGAACAGCCTTCCTCGAGATAACCCATCTTGTTGACGATTGCAGCAATACCACAGGAGCTCAAACGAGCCGCACGTCTTCCAATGAGCTTCGCAAGAGCCCGGAAGAACTGCCGTTCCGCGAGCGTCGTCTCGAGGGCGAAGAAGTGTGTGAAGATTCCGATAACCATGAGAAGTTCGTCCGTTGGGTCACTGAGAACACGACGATGAGCGTCTGCACATTTTCACATCGAATGGGTAATGGGGTACCTCTCCATAAGAGACAAAAACGCGGTGTCGAAACAGTATGGTTTCTCGAGTTTGTAAGTGTTCTGTCCCAGGAAAAGAACACCTTCGTCGATGAGCTCACAAAGAACTAGTCGCAGAATCTCGCCCAAGTACCGGCCAGAAATGAGTTTCTGGACAGTTGATGTCACGATAATGATGTTGCACGGCACATATAGTAACTCACTTCGAACGCCTGTTCACCAGGCTTATTTGAAGTATCATCAACGATCGTGTCGTATTTCGTGCGAGGCAGATGCTCATGTTCGAATGAATCAAACGCGCCCTGCCAAGTTCGTCAATTATATAGTGTTAAGATCGGGATCAAACCCTACGGACCCATTCACAATTGATCGCCATCTCAGCTCCATGATCGATACCCAAATGCTCTATTTTGGCAATATCCTTGACGCGCTCCATATAAGCCGCGTTACAACCAGTTCCGAAGATAACCGCGATCTTCGTCTTAGGATTCACATAGTGTGATGCGATTAACGTTCCAGTCGTATCATTGATAAGAGCGGTCAGTTTGATGGGCAATTGCTGTTCGTATGCGAGTCAGTATTGAATAGAAACTTGAGATAGGTGGAACGTACGTATTTTTCGAGGGACTTCTTGAACATCTCGGCAACGTCCCTGCCCTCCGTGTTTCCAGCTCCAAAACCTTTGGTCCAGCGGATGAGCTCGCCGTGGTCAATGCGTTCCTGCCTAGATACCGAAAACAAGTCGACCTTGCATGCACTGAACTAACAATTGTATCATGCGCACTTACGAGCAAGGATAGGAGAACTGAATACTACATAGTCAGAAGGATGACGTTAGGACAGCTAATGACATACGGTAAAGCCAAGAGGTAGGGATTGACCAGGCTTCAGTTGGCCCGCGCCCTCGCCCGTATTGGTTTCGACAAAGGTATGCAAACATTCAGCACAGAAATCGAACAATTTCTGGCCATCATCTTGTTTTTGCTCCTCAGACAAACGATATTTGGTTTGGGAAATCTCGAATTTTCCCTCTCCCTGAAGGGTCACAAGACAGACACGCAAATTCGTTCCACCTATAATTCGCACGAGTATATTTAGAGCCTGGGAAAATGACATAAACAACAAACCACTCACCGAGATCAAGAGCGAGGAAATCTCCTTTCTCCTGACCTGTTGGCCATCCAAACACGTACGTCGGAATCATAGGCTACAAGTACTAATTCAGCACACGGTCGGAAATCCCTCATAGAATAAATGTGAAGAGCATGAAGAATCAGGAGCATCGAAAGATAAATTGAATCGTCTCATCTCATGACCAACTGCAAAAAGCAATTGAGTTTGAAACAACAAATGCAAGAAGGTGATCCCATTCGGTATGGACGTATGGAGTACATACGCACTACAATCTGGTTGGGCTTGTTCAAGCCAAGTTCCAGTGTCTCAGTAAAGGCCTCGACAATCATCCGCATCCTCTGCGGTGTGAGTGTGAACCTGTGCAATGAGGATTCAGTAGATCCATTGTTGGAGCCCCTGATAGGGTGACTGACAAACTCTCGTATTTTCTCAAATGGTCGGCCATCGTCCTGCGATTCACAAGATAATAAAGGTAAGGCCGTTGTGTCAAGTATTATTGCGCAACTTTGCGTACTTTTTAGTTGCATGCGGGAGGTCTTCCTCATCTTGCGTCCGGGTATGGATGGCGATTGTCTGACCTGTAGTTAGCGTGAAGCTACCACTTCCGCGACGCGAGGCAGGCATTCTTGATCGGAAACTGACGTATTATGTGGAGAGATGGTGGAGGGAGAAAGAGAGACAGCGGTGGAGATTGAGTTCACGACCATGGCAGTCCTTCATCGGTACCTGCTACGCGTGGAAAATACATCTCCATAAACGTACGGTATGGCCCTCTAACCAAATCAACTTTGGTTCACGAAATGCCGAACGCTAACGCGATGAAGCCTTACACAACTGGCATTAATATTGATGACCTTGTAAACGCCGATTTCCAAAGGCTATCGACTAGCTTACGGGTTACAATACACAGCTGAGAAACATTATGACAATATAAAAATCGCCTATACCTGAGGGCTATCGAATATATATATAAATTCCCACCCACTCCACGACAAGTCGCTGCCAGTCCCACACTTTATTCAAACGCTTTTTTCGTCTGTCATTTGAGGACGATGATTGGGCTCAAGTCTACACTTAATGTTGGTGAAGTTTTGTATGCATTTTATGTCCTCATAGCTTACAAAATTTATGCAGGTAATAGACAACTCCGGCGCACTACTCATTGAGTGCGTCAATGTCCTCAAGCAGAAAGTCAATAACGGCTGGGGCTCTGTTGGTGATGAAATAGTCTGTGTCGTCAAACGCGCGCGCCCAGTGTCGGCAGCAACTCAGGCATCTACCACTGCGGTCAAAGTCCGACGCGGAGATGTTCGTCGAGCAGTCATCGTGCGAACCAAGAAGTCAGTTCGAAGACCAGACGGGCGTTTCATCAGGTTCGATGATAATGCGGCGGTCCTTTTGAATAACAAGAGAGAGATGCTAGGGACGCGTATAGGTGGCGTTGTGAGTGCTGACTTGCGCATGAAAGGCTGGGGGAAGATTGTTAGCTTAGCACCAAAGGTATGTAGCTCCGCAACACGTTAATGAAGAGAAGTTAGCTGATTTCCGTCAAGGTTGTTTGATAGACGTATATTAGATACTCGCCTTATATAAAAGTAAAACCACTATTGGCCTTTGACCTACCTGCATCTCAATTTACAAACTGGGAAGTTATTTCTTTTCTTGCACGGCTTTCTACAAGTTTCGATAGATTGTTCCATTGCTACCTGCATGTCGCTTTCGCATGTACAGCGACATTTCGTTTCTCGTATGTGATTTTACTTTGTTTCGTTGGTCTTTTCCTGCAATCTGTTTTGTTTCCTCTTTCCTTCGCATTTTTCGTTCTTTCGCAGTCTCTTAGCGTGTCTGGTTATTATGCGCTGTGTCCCGCTTCATGGCTACTGTGTTTCTGATGTCAGCCACAGGTTCCATGCCCCGAGTCCTCCCTACAAATAGCAGCATTTATGTATATATCTCCCTTGATGAAACCTCGTGCGCTTGATATCAATGATCAACTTCCTTTCAGTGTTTTGCATGACGTTGCCGAGTATGTGTTGTATTATGACCCGTTGTATCATCCTGAGGCTCATCCCGCTGTGTTCGCTACAGCCCTTGGATTTTGTACGTGTGCTCATCGATCGACTTGACGTGTTCAACAAGTGCTTATTCGATGAGCGCTCATTGACCACGTCGAGTCATGTTTGAAATATGGCTCAGATAATCGTGTGAACTCAATGACTTTTGACGGTGCGAATATCAACATTTGTGTTAGTGGGACGTTAATGCCTTTTGCTCGTTCTCACTTCAAATGTCCTTGTTACGTCCATTGCAACGTGTTTAGACGCTATCAAGGCTGTCGAGACACCTGACCACGGAGTGTAGTCTCCTCACCAAGCTTCAGCGTGATTCTGCTTAGCTCTCATATTCTCGACCACATTTATAGAGAAAACCTATCTGAACTAGTTGCTATAGTCCTTCGTCGCTGTGACGTTGCACGCGGCCTGGGCTGTGGCCCATATCAGACTTGAATCAAAGACCCTAGCATCGAGGCCATCCTTCAAGATTTTACAAACGTCTCATGCGCCGGTGCCCCTCCAAACTGTTTGATCATGAAAGGAAAAAACGACAATGTACAGTGTGAACGAATGACACAGGGGGCCAGTGCTGGTACAGGAATTGGACTGAGGGCGGAGGAGAAATTTAGGTAAATACCTCACAGTGCAAGCGTATATACCGTACGCGGACTTGGGCAAGTAGACAGGCAATAAGAAAATGATCGGACACAGAAGATAAAGGAGCACAAAGTCAATGTTGGAAGTAGTGTTGTTGGTAAAAATGGTTGTGCTTGGTCCACGTCCGAACTCACACGAAAGGAGGGTGGCAGAACTCCCTGAGGTTATCCGAGACGTGGGGATGTAATTTAGATCTCTGACAACACAGTTGAATCCAAGAGAGCGTGAAGATCGATGTCCCTGAAGTAAGGTGGTGCATGCTGGAGGGCGCCCCCTCGCATCACTGATCAAAGATAATTTTGAATGCCTGGAATGAGAACATTGCGGCGACACTGATAACTCATCGAACATCAGGTGCTCAAGTCCAGGGTCGTGAGGATCCGAAATCCATCCACTCAAGTTCTTTGCTGTAACAATCTTCTTGATCAATTGTAGGGCATTCCCTCATTTAACACATTTGAAAACAGTCGGAAATTTTCGTTCAAACCTTGGGCTTCAACACCACAGCGGTGTAAAAGCCGCGGAGGCTAGGAAGTCCACCCGCCAACGGTCGACATACTCACATGCACACTCGTGAAGAGGTTGGCATTGCTGTCGAGACTGCACAGGATCTCGAAGCACCCTTCACGTGGGCACCTGCGCTCTCAATTGAGCCTTAGATGATCTTGCTGGTCCAGAGAGTATCTCACCTGACAACACCACTGCTAAATTTGCATCTCTCGAAGAGTTGAAAATGCGAGGGTGACGGATGGGACGGGGCAACATTGATATCATCGTTAGGAATGTCGTACACATGATACACATAGCCTAGCTGTGCGCTTAGAGTTTTGCCAGTTTTGCCGGTCATAGTAACCGGCAGAACTACATCCAAGTAGTTCTGCCCCCTGCACTAGTTGGAAGGTGGATTTTAGGTGGTGTGGGTCCGCACATGGAATGCATAAAAGCAAGCTGTCTCCCTACTATCACCCTTCAGATTTATCTCCGAGATCCCATATCACATCTCACAAATAATGCGTCTCATTTTCCGAGTCGCCCTTGCCGTTGTTGCCGCTTTGACAGTGTCTATGACTGTCAGTGGATGCCAATCAGCTGGCGACTTTTGCAACTCAAGTACGGATTGCTGCCCTACCTATAAATGCGCGAAAGAACAAGTTGTCGGTGTGAGTATGAGTAGTTTCATCCAGGATTTATTGACTCACTGGCGTGGCAGTCTACCTACGTATCGGTTTGTGAGCCTATCCCTATTGTGTGACATAGGTGGGCCCGGGTGGCACCCGTACCCAGTCCGCGAGTAGATGGAACTTGGAATGCCTACCCGCACCCGTACGGGTCAGAGTATCACGAGTGGGTCACCCGCGGGTGACAAATTATCATTGTGCGAAATTGTAGACATAACTTGTGGGGACATGGGCAGTACCGTAGTACACAATATCCACGATCGAGCAACGTATCATAGCGAGCACAGATTGCTGAACTCTAGCGTGCTTTCGATGCCACTGAAATGACAACGAGCTCATGGATCTACACCATTAAGACTACACAATGGAATACCAATGATGTCATTGTCGCCCTTGTCCCAAATATCGAGAGATTTTTTCACTTTGGTTCGTCGCTTCTTTTTGGGACTGTAGAATAGGAATCGGAGACGCTGTTCGTTTACGATGGAGTGGGTGTGTAGCTGGTGACCCGGGTGCCGAGGATGTACCAATAGTAAAATAAAACACTTCCTCGCCATTGAGACGAATCCGATTAAGGAGTATGGAAAGATAGGTGAGAAGATAGATTTTATACATCCGAGTCGGACTGCACATCGAGCTTTAAACATCGAAGACTCAGAAGTAATATATACTTTTGATAGGCTCTGACAACGACAAGTATTGATCTGAAACATGGTTTATAAGGTGAGCATCATGATACAGTACTGCTGCCAGCTGGGTGAGATGTGTGCCAGTTTATACCTCCGCAACTTGGCTTTGATTTTAATGTCGGGTGGGAGTTCGGTCAACAAGTAGTAAGTTTGGCTCGGCCGACTATTTGTGGTAACTACCCGTGGATACCTAACTTTGGCGAGCCCTCCAACCTGTACCTCGTGCGGGTCGCGTGATGCGGCCAAATCTACAGGGCAAATATTTCCTAGTGTCAGAAACGTATTTGGGGATGAAATACAACAAATAGAAAAAAGTGGAAAAAAGTCTCTCAAATCTTGGTTTTGAGAACATTTGAGACCGTCAATCTATCCAGAGAGGTTTTAGGAACAGATTGGTGCAAAAGAATGTCTGGAAAGTGGATGAGGAAAATACAATAAGTTGTGCAAAATGGCGTCTCAAAATGTAGTTGAATTTGGATGTTTGCCTTACCATTCGTCCCAACCTGGGTGAGTATCCGGGTAACGCCCACCCTATGCGAGTCACAGCCTTGAGATCGGATGAGCTACAGTGCTCAGCTATAATGCGTATAAAATGGTCGATGACTTTCAGTGATGAAATTGCGCGTCACCGTCGCGTCCTATGGTTATTCTGCCTGTCATAAATTACCAGGGACTGTGCGAGTCAAGTTTGAGGCCTGCTGGCAATCTGTTGGCATTGCAAATGACATCTGTTTATGACCCGTCATCGTCTACACAGAACACATTAAAGCAAGCTGTCTTCCTACTATTCCCTTTCAGATTTATTTCCGAGATCCCATATCGCATCTAACAAATAATGCGTCTCACCTTCCGAGTCGTCCTCGCCGTTGTTGCTGCTTTGACGGTGTCTATGGCTGTCAGTGCTCAGGACGGTGGATGCCTAACATATGGCAGCTTTTGCAACTCAGATGCAGATTGCTGTTTGGGTGGATGCTACCTGGGAGAAATTGACGTATATGTGAGTATAAGAAGTTTCATCCAGGATTTATTGACTCAGCGGCGTGGTAGTCTGACTTCGGATGGGTATGTGAGCCGGGGCCCTGAGACCGGATGAGCTACAGTGAGCTGCGTTTCTGCTTCCTCATTGGCGCAGTGTGGTTGATGACACCATCCTGACACATGAGTAGTTCGTTGCGCAATGCAGAGTGCTTACTTCTTAACAAGTTTTACTACTACTTGAGCTTGGGCAATGACCTTGGAGCGGAGGAAAGGAGCGGAACCCAGAAAGTAAATAATACGATAGAATATCTGGAACAAACTAGGTCAACTCCGAAATCTGAGGCCAGGTCCGTTGGTAATCTGCGGGAGCTACAGTGAGTCATGTTTCTGCTTTCTCATCGGCGCAGTGTGGTTGGTTGAGTTGAACATCACACGCAAGTAATTTGTCGCGGGATCAGTCCTTCCTCGTGTGAAAGGTTGACGGTCCAATATGGGTGAGGTTTGCAGTCCAAAGCGATGGCGAAAAATGTATCCGTTGAGTATCTACTACAGGTAGAAGTCTCTGTTGTAGTCAGAATAAGCAGGAGTGACTGCCAGGTTAGGCACGATAAGTGGCGGCGAGGCGAGCACATTGCCAGTACAGATGCCGTGAAATTGGCTAGGACTGTCAAGCGAGCGAGTTGACTGTCTTACAAGGCATGCTTACGGCATGTGCCTCGCAGGCAGTATATTCGATCGATTGTGGGTTCAATCTGCTGGTTCTGTCTAGCTTTCCGTATTTTCAGGGTTAGAGTTAGGGTTAGTGCCTCACGCCTTGTACTAGTACTACGTGTCATCATCGACGCTAACGTTCCCGCCAGCTTCCTCCCCGTCCATCAGCCTCTGCTCGTCGACACACACAATGAACGCGTGCTATCCCGAACCCCGGGGTTGCACGGCCACCGTGTCCTAGGACACGCGCTAAGCTAGTCACTGTCCTCACCGCCATATCCCCGTGTCTCACGACAAGAAAGCCGTCAGTATAAGAACTACCTTCATTGACTCCCAGGTTCATTAGTCTATGATCACGAGGAGATAATGGAACTTGGAAATCGAGTCGAAGGTGAAGGGCTTAACATGATACATCATCACGAGCGGAGTCACGGCGTAAGTTTTGTGTCTCATGCTCCTACTCAACCGACTGAATTTACGCGGACAATAAACAACTCTGCTCGAATGTTCATACCCTCAATTGGAACGGCTGAGCCTCTGTCGGAGATTAAATAGCTTGTATTGCCAAACTTTTGGCGACAACTAGAGACTCATGGTCACTCTAGACTACTTAAGTATTCCTTAAGAGAAGGGTTACGGCTATGTCGCTCGACTTGTCTGTGGTTAGTCTCCGGCCCAACGCCGTCGCCGTTCGTTATTCCATTGAGTGTCGGAGGACGCAACTACTACTTTCACACTTCTGATTTTCAACTATCCAGACATTATCCACACTACCGAAGGGTATTGAGCGTACTGCTATGTAAGTCTATTTTTGTAACTGGGGAGATTTACGTCTTCCCGAATGCAGACCACCTTAGCCTTGTTCTCTTAGCGAGGCATGATTGATATCAGCGTGCTAATCAGGCGCCTGCTCTTCCCAGGCAATCAAAGATGCAACCCACCGAATTGCCTAATAATAGTTGTCTAATCCCCGTCTTATGTGCTAGTCAAAGCAGTTCTGATTTTTTCCACCCTTCCAACGTTGTTCTTCACGACTTTTAAAGATCTAACGATCTTTGTAGCTCATAGGCCACCACTGTATATACTTACTTTCAAATGTTCCCAACCAGCTGCTTCCAGCGGTTGCGGCCGTCCACCATCCCGTGGACGAACTTGGCTCGTTCCAGATTCATCAAACAGCATGCACTGACCTTGTCTCGTCGACAGAGCTCGAGCGTGCCCTTTAAGAGTCCACGTTCCTGGTCCCCAATTATCATTGGCTCTATCGCTAGCGGGCTTATCGGATATTCCCTCAGCGCGTTTGGGAAGCCTTCTCTAAATTCCGAGGCTCTGGAGGAGACAGAACCAAAGTATGGCACTCCAAAGGATTTTGAACAGGCCATCAAGGAACTTCGGGCTTTGTTTAATTCAGACGATGTTGTCTCAACTGATCCAGAAGACCTTCGTATTCACGGATATTCGGAGAATGATTACCACCCAAGTGAGGGCTTCCATTCAGTCTAGCTTCACTTTCCCCCGCTCATGTTAGTCTTCCAGGTGTACCGCATACTGTCATCGTATACCCAAGGAACACAGAAGATGTAGTCAAAATTGTCAAGACTGCCGTCAAGTACCGTATGCCCATCACCCCTTTCTCTGGTGGTACCTGCTTAGAGGGGAGCTATCGTAGCGTAAGTTTATTTATCTCCAAAGCTATTCATGCTGATGACGGTGGCCCTCCAGACCCCTGTCGGTGGCATTTGTGTTGATATGTCCGGCATGAATAAGATTATCGAAATTCATGGTCAGTGTGTCATGCACTTTTCTTTGAACAGTACTGAATCATCCAAAACAGAGGCGGACTCCGACCTCGTTTGTCAGCCCGGTGTCGGATGGATGGAAATTAATGAGACTTTGCAGAAGAAAGGTGAGACTGCAACGTAAATTTTATTGCGTTACTTACATCCTTGGAAGGCATACCATTATTCTTTCCCGTACGTTTGGACATTGGCGCTGTATTGTTACCTGACAGTTTTTACTTAGTTGGATCCCGGCCCGGGCGCAACTATCGGTGGCATGATGAGCACTGGTTGCTCAGGCAGTACGTATCGGTAGTCATAAATCGGCGGTACGATTATTGACGTGTTGACCTTGGCAGCGAATGCCGTTCGGTATGGTACTGCGAAAGGCGAATGGTTCTTGAATGCGGTATGCATTGATTCCCTTGACAACATTATATTGAGTTGGTTAATTGGGTATCCCCATAGACGGTTGTTCTTCCTTCTGGGGAAGTCATCAAAACTCGCCAACGTGCTCGGAAATCTGCAGCTGGGTTCGATACTACGAAGTTGTTCATCGGTGCCGAGGGCACTCTTGGTATCATCACGGAAGGTGATATCACGTATTTTGCTCTTGACGATCGCTGTTGACACTTCTTTTAGTCACTATCCGCTTAGCTCCTGTCCTCCCAACATCGGTCGCCGTCGTACACTTCCCTGATGTGAAGCGCGCAACGGAGGCCGTCACTGACGTGATGAACCGCGGCGTTGGCATCCGTAGGTTATCCCTTCCCCATCAAGCAACACGCTCACCCCCAGGATCTAGAATGCGTTGAACTCTGCGACTCTGAGTTCATGCGTTCTATAAATTTGTTTGGTGCATCTCAGCGCAAATACCCTGAACAGGACTCCCTGTTCTTCAAATTCCAAGGTCCAACCTCTGCTTCCATCGCAGAGACCGCTAAGATCGTAAAGGAAATTGTGCAGAAGTACGGCGGCACTGGGTTTGAATTGGCGCGCTCTGAGCAGGAAGCGCGTGACCTATGGGAAGACAGGAAAAATGCTCTTTTTTCTGGTTTGGCCCTCCTGGAAGGGAGTCGGGGATGGAGCACTGATGTTTGGTAAGACCAAACTACTACAGGTCCGGGCGTGTCTTATACTTTCCGACTGCAGCGTGCCAGTTTCGAAACTACCGCAGCTTGTGTATGAAACCAAGAAAGACTTGCAACAATCAGGCCTTGTATCAATAGTTATAGGTCATGTCGGTGACGGTCAGTACCCACACGCTTCGCACCGTATCATATTTTTCATCAAACATATCACCCAGGCAATTTCCACACCCTGCTTCTTTTCCGTAATGACAAGGAGCTCGAAGGTGTTCGCGAAGCTGTGCATAGGATGGTGGAGCGTGCGATAAACCTTGAAGGCACTTGTACGTCTTCACTGCTATATGCGCGAGAGTGATGGTCTTACGTCTACAGGCACTGGCGAACACGGTGTTGGGATTGGGAAGCGAGAATATCTGTACAAAGAACTCGGTGAGGGAACGGTGGAGTTAATGCGATCCGTGAAGAAGACCTTGGATCCGCTGGGTTTGTTCAACCCCGGAAGGTGAGCTAGATCGGTCACGTTTCAAGAGTTTGGTGCTAATGCCGAACGAATAGTTGTATCCAGACAGGATAGATAAGTCAAAACATTAAATGATTCTTACGATCTATTGTGTTTTACGATACAGGGTCGTCGTTGACACTGTTGTATTTTCTCTTGACTGTACCCATTCCATTGTGAATATAGCGCGATCATGTTTTCATGTCTTAGGCGTTATCTCCGGTAACACCTGGCAATGCACTAAATCTCAAACTTGTTGGCGAATACCCGAATGTGTACTCACAGGTTACCTGAAGATAGACATTATTTGCCTCAGATATATGGCGACAACAGAGTAGGCACCAAGCCGAGATGTGGCTCAAATTCCTGTCTCAAGACCCAGGAATTCATATGTTTAGGAACAAACCCATTCGTCACAATACTTTTGCCCTCCTTGTATTTGTTGTGCATCTTACATTGACCAAGTACACGCAGCGTCAGAGCAGAAAAATCCAAGCTTGTCTCACTATCGATGTAGACAGGGGTAATGACTTGGTATGTATAAAATAACCACGGCACCTGCTTACAGTGCACTGGCACCTGTACATTCATCGTAAGTAAATGCGTGGTATTAAGGACGAAATTCAGCATACCGGTAATAATGTCGACCAACTCGTTGGTAATGGCGGCTTGACGACCACGGTTATATTGCATCGTCAGTCGGTCAATCATGTCTTTTGCATTCTTTGATGCATTGTCCATGGCATTGCGACTGTACCCAAAAATGTTGAGTGATAGAATGTAAAAGTTTGCCTTATGAACGTACCGGGCACTCTGCTCGCATGCATGGGCCTCGACAAGAGCAGCATAGATGGCGTTTGCAAGCGAGAACTCAGCGAGGTCCTTCGTAACGTCATCCTCCATTTCGTATGCCCGGAATCCAGCTAGAAGTGCATGAGTCGCAAAACCAAGACTTGACTACATGTTATCGTACCAGACTCCTTCAATGCATTCTCGCCCACAACTTCAACGATATCAGGCTCATAAGAGACAGCAGAGATAAATTTGTTGTAAACGATAGAAATGCCGTCGTACTTGGCGTCGCTCTTCACAATCAAGTCTGCAACGCCAGCAGCGTCAGCGAAGGTGGGGATGTCACGACCAATTTGATTGAAGGACATGGCCAAGTTCTTGCCAAGTACACGCGACAGTTGCACTTTGGACTTGTCACCGATGACCATGATGGGAGAGTCGGATTCGACGGGCTTCTCAGTGTTAGCAATGGCACGACGGGTGGCCTTGGTCACGGAAGAATGGATACCACCGCAGAGACCTTTGTCGGAGGAGACAACAATGAAAAGCTTGCGCTTTGCAGGAGTTTCCGAAGGAGCATGCTGGAATATCTCTGGGCTGTTTTAAGAATAGGGAAGCGGATATATAGTCTACGGGACGCACCGGAGTTAGCAAGACCATACTGCTTGCCGCTCTGCATGGCACGCTGCGCCTTTGCAAGCTTAGTGGAAGCAATCATCTTCATAGACTGCACATCACAAGAAGTATCCGCGGTCAACGCCCAAAAATAATACGAAAACAAGACATCGGCGCACCTTGGTAATTTTCTCGATATTCTTGACCGACTTCAACCGTAGCTCGATTTCGCGCAACGTAGCCATGTTGCGGGCATTTTTGGGAGCAGCTCCCAACGGAGAGGGCTGGGTCGCGATGCGGGCAAGTGAACGCCTTGCTAACATTGAAAAGTGGTCAAACCTGGTGCACGACCGAATTCCGAGCAGCCAAGACACTTCACCGACTTCCGGCGATATCCGATCTGAGCTCGAATCGTGTTGCCGAATCTCGGCATCGATGGAGTCATCTAATCTTGCTTAACATACTCATCAGCGAGCAAGTCCATCTTACGCGTCAACCATCATGGCAGCAGAACAGCCATTGTTCGATCCTTCGCTCAAGAAGCGCAAGAAGAAAGCTGTGGCTTTCACTGAGGACCCGTTAGGTCCTGATGCAGACCCTACTACGCCTGCACCAACCACTATCGAGAACACAACTACCAACGGAGATGTTGTTGATCTCGGTCCTGCCACCGCCCATGAGCAGATGAAGCGAAGTCTTAATGGGGCACCAGATAGTGTTGATGCTGTTGATGAAGCGAAGGAAGATGACGATTTCAAGGCCATGTTTCCAGATGGTCTCAAGAAGAAAAAGAAGAAAAAGGACATCCCTATGGACCTTGTGGGTATATCATGTTAAGCTTATGTTTTGCGATTTTACATGCGTATGTTATCAGGGCGAAGATGGCTCAGGAGCATCGGCTGCAGCTGCTGTACCTGCCGCTACGGAGGATCTCGACTTCTCCGACATCAAGAAGAAAAAGAAGTCAACAAAGAAAAAAGCAATGGAGGACTTCGAGAAGGAGCTTAATGAGGCAAAGGCAAAAGATGAAGCTGAAGAGGCTGAAGCCGACGATGGAGAGCATCTTAATGAACTAGATGAAGCAGATCTTGGGGATGACCCATTTGCACGCAATGAAGCACCCGCAGGCATTGACTCTGGCACGGAACCATGGCTTGGGAGCGACCGAGATTACACTTACCCAGAGGCATGTGCACTTGCGGTGATACCTTTTCCTGACCCATATTAACCTACATCATCAGCTCCTAACACGATTTTACGCCTCCCTTCATGCCGCAAATCCATCATTACTCACTTCCACCGGTAAACGATACACGATCGCACCTCCACAAATTCTCCGTGAAGGTGTCCGCAAATCGATCTTCGCGAACGTTGCAGATATCTGCAAGAGGATGCACAGACAGCCAGAGCATGTCATTCAATTCCTCTTTGCTGAAATGGGTACCACTGGTTCAGTGGATGGTTCAGGACGTTTGGTTATCAAAGGTCGTTTCCAACCTAAACAAGTCGAGAATGTTTTGCGTCGTTATATCGGTAAGCTTAAATCTACGCTTTTCATGCTTAGCGCTAATATTGTCAAAGTCGAGTATGTGACATGCAAAACATGTAAATCACCTGATACGCTCCTCACAAAGGAGAACCGTATTTTCTTCATGTCCTGCGAGTCCTGCGGCTCACGTCGGTCCGTTAACGCCATCAAGAGTGGTTTCCAGGCCCAGGTTGGCAGGAGAAAGGCAACTGCGCAATGAGCCGTTGTTGTATTATCAGGAAGCTGTTTGCTATGTTCATCGCTACATTCATCATCATCACGCACATCGAACCCTCAATATATGGTCTGATTGTAGAAGCATGAGGTGAACATTCCAAGTGAGGTGGACATGGTGAACAAGAAAGACAAGAAATAACTAAAAAAAATCATAATGTATCATGGACTCATTGAAACATGACGCAACATCGAGGGACGCAAACCATCCTTCATGAATCGATATCCCCAACCTTCGTCAACACTAGACGGCGTTTTTTCCTTGGGGGCTGTGCCAACTTCGCAGGTGTGACTTCTGGTGCACTCTTGCCTGCAGGGGCATTGTCATCAATACTAGTAGCAGGCGTGGGTGGCGGCTCGGTCCTCTTCGCAGGAACAGTAGGCGTCGTAATAGCAGCTAATGGGACTGAGGAAGACGAGGGCGTCATCGTGTAGGTGAGGGGCACGAAGTTGTGTTGCGCGATGGACTGAAGTTGTAATGCATATTGTTGAGTGTGATGCGCAGGTAAAATTTCATCAAAGATCACGATCGTACAGTATCCATCTCGCGATGAGAGGATAAGGCACTGTCCGTCAGAAGACCTATTAAATAGCTCAATATAGATACCAGCAGCCGGAAACAGCCATCACATACCACGACGCATCCGTAAATTCATCATAGTGCAGCTTTGTGAGCATGCAAACAGGTCCAGATTGTTGGGTATCATAGATGGCAACGGCATCCATGGTCAGAACAGCGTAAAGCATGCGATAAGGCAGCGCAAACACGGAGCCAGTATTGGGTGGAGCGATCGCCGGGGTAGAGGGCTTTGATGGCGATGGCGTAGAAGGTTTCAGCGATGATGAAGGCATAACTAATTCGGGAGCCACAACATGAGGCGTAGGCGCTTCGACATGAAGGAGTAAATTCTTTTCCACCTTTAGAGAATGTGCAAATATGTCCTTGTGAGTTGCAGGTGTGGCAGAAGGTCCAGCAATATCAACAGAAATCGACCCGTCCCTGCCCTTTTCCAGAGTTCCTGTCTTAGGTTCGTTATACCCCTCTGCGCCAATAACATCTTGCCTCAATTCATAAAGCACAGGGGAAAACTTGACAGCCACGCTTGCTTTCTTATGCCCTGGTAACTGAGCTATAGGAGGACGGGCAAAGTTCGCCCTTGAGTAGATGAACACTGACGATGCCGATGAAGGGTTGGTTTCGCTCGTGGTAATCGCGAGTTTGGATTTACGTCCACGAGTGGGAGTTTCTTCGGCCTTGGGCTTGTTAGTAATGATGCTGGGATCCTCAAATTGCCCTGCAGGGGTTAGCAAGAGACCTCCATCTGGGCTGAACGTTAAGCGGCGGAAGAAGTTCGAGAAACTTTCATCTCCATAGAGTTTAATAGTCGACCATGCGGGCGAAGGAAGCGCGCGGATCGCGGGAAGGGGTGGCATAGGAGAAGGAGATCTCCCATATCGTGCATATTGCCCAGGAGAGCCGGGGGCATTAGATCCACTGAATGAAGACCGTCTCGAAGAAGGTCTCTCAACCGGCGGAGGAGGGAACATCGATGTGGATGGTGTGCTGACTACTGACGCGGTCGGCGTCGGAGGAGCGTAGTTGCCAGAGAAAAGAACATCATCTTTGTGCTGGTCGCTGACAGTAGACTCTACGTCACTAGCAGCAGACTCATGTCTGTAGGACCTGGAACGGCTGTGCGAGCTAGGGGTGCGGCTGTGATTGTGGGTGTAAGACATTCGTGTGTTCTTGCCCACAGCATGGGCTTCGAACGTGCCCTGCTTGGTCGAGATCCGATACACGTGCATCGAACGGTCACTGCTCTGTGTGGCGATGTATT